CTCTGACTCTGACTCGGACTCGGACTCGGACTCGGACTCTGACACTGACACTGACTCTGACACTGACACTGACACTGACTCTGACTCTGACTCTGACACTGACTCTGACTCTGACTCTGACCCTGACCCTGACACTGACACTGACTCTGACACTGACACTGACACTGACTCTGACACTGACACTGACTCTGACTCTGACTCTTACTCTGACACTGACACTGACACTGACACTGACTCTGACACTGACTCTGACTCTGACACTGACACTGACTCTGACTCTGACACTGACTCTGACTCTGACTCTGACTCTGACTCTGACTCTGACACTGACACTGACACTGACACTGACTCTGACTCTGACTCTGACTCTGACACTGACACTGACTCTGACTCTGACTCTGACTCTGACTGACTCTGACTCTGACTCTGACTCTGACTCTGACACTGACACTGACTCTGACACTGACACTGACTCTGACTCTGACTCTGACACTGACTCTGACTCTGACTCTGACCCTGACCCTGACACTGACACTGACTCTGACACTGACACTGACACTGACTCTGACACTGACACTGACACTGACTCTGACTCTGACTCTTACTCTGACACTGACACTGACACTGACACTGACTCTGACACTGACTCTGACTCTGACACTGACACTGACTCTGACTCTGACACTGACACTGACTCTGACTCTGACTCTGACTCTGACTCTGACACTGACACTGGCTCTGACTCTGACTCTGACACTGACTCTGACTCTGACTCTGACTCTGACACTGACACTGACACTGACACTGACACTGACACTGACTCTGACTCTGACTCTGACTCTGACTCTGACACTGACACTGACACTGACACTGACACTGACACTGACTCTGACACTGACACTGACACTGACACTGACACTGACACTGACTCTGACTCTGACACTGACACTGACTCTGACTCTGACACTGACACTGACTCTGACTCTGACTCTGACTGACTCTGACTCTGACTCTGACACTGACACTGACTCTGACTCTGACTCTGACACTGACACTGACACTGACACTGACACTGACACTGACTCTGACTCTGACTCTGACACTGACACTGACACTGACTCTGACTCTGACTCTGACTCTGACACTGACACTGACACTGACTCTGACACTGACTCTGACTCTGACACTGACACTGACTCTGACTCTGACTCTGACTCTGACACTGACACTGACTCTGACACTGGTCCCTCTGGTCCCTCTGGTCTCATGTATGTTCAGATGTTGATGGTATGTCTTCTGTAGGGTCCTTCTGGTCCCTCTGGTCCTGCTGGACTCGCGGGACAGCGTGGCATTGTGGGTCTACCAGGACAGCGAGGAGAGAGAGGGTTTCCTGGTCTGCCTGGTCCTTCTGTGAGTGTCGTTATTCTAATGTTTCTACTGTAAACTGGATCTACTGTAAACAGAATCTACTGTAAACAGAATCTACTGTAAACTAGATCAACTGTAAACTGGATCAACTGTAAACTGGATCAACTGTAAACTGGATCTACTGTAAACTGGATCAACTGTAAACTGGATTTAATGTAAAATGCAGGGTTGTAGCAGTAGGGTATATCATATATATATATATATATATATATATATATATATATATATATATATATATATATATATAGTACAGTAGTGCCCGTGGTGATCGGTGCACTCGGGGCAGTGACCCTGAAGCTAGAAGAGGTTACAGCGGATCCCTGGAACAACCTCGGACATCTGGGTCCAGAAATGTGCAGTGCTAGGAACAGCAAAGATACTGAACCCTCAGGCTCCCAGGCCTCTGGTAGAGGACCCGAGCTTAGAGAGGGATAACTGCCCACGGATAGAGAGGGATAACCGCCCACGGATAGAGAGGGATAACCGCCCACGGATAGAGAGGGATAACCGCCCACAGATAGAGAGGGATAACTGCCCACAGATAGAGAGGGATAACCGCCCACGGATAGAGAGGGATAACCGCCCACAGATAGAGAGGGATAACTGCCCACAGATAGAGAGGGATAACCGCCCACGGATAGAGAGGGATAACTGCCCACAGATAGAGAGGGATAACTGCCCACAGATAGAGAGGGATAACCGCCCACGGATAGAGAGGGATAACCGCCCACGGATAGAGAGGGATAACCGCCCACGGATAGAGAGGGATAACCGCCCACGGATAGAGAGGGATAACTGCCCACAGATAGAGAGGGATAACCGCCCACGGATAGAGAGGGATAACCGCCCACGGATAGAGAGGGATAACCGCCCACAGATAGAGAGGGATAACCGCCCACGGATAGAGAGGGATAACTGCCCACAGATAGAGAGGGATAACCGCCCACGGATAGAGAGGGATAACCGCCCACAGATAGAGAGGGATAACCGCCCACGGATAGAGAGGGATAACCGCCCACGGATAGAGAGGGATAACCGCCCACGGAGGGCCAAAGGTGAGATTTTTTATTTTATTTTAATTTTAAATATACAGTATTTATATAATTCCCCTTCGGGAGAAGCAGAAGTGCTGCTGAGTATCAGTGCGACTGACTCAGAGTTTTCTCAGTCTCTACATTATTTATCAGGCCTAAGACGGAGACCTTTCAGATCCAAAACTGCCTCAAACATGTTTTTCTTCCTGAGTCAGTTTGATTTTGAAACTATGACCTTTAATGACCTGCACCAACTGTTAATGACCTGCACCAACTGTTAATGACCTGCACCAACTGTTAATGACCTGCACCAACTGTTAATGACCTGCACCAACTGTTAATGACCTGCACCAACTGTTAATGAAGGTTTTAACAGAAACACATCTGAGAGTTTAAGGTTTGGCTCTTTGTGGTTTTCAGGGAGAACCAGGAAAACAGGGAGCGGCCGGAGGAGCCGGGGACCGAGGGCCTCCTGGACCTGTTGGGTCTCCTGGACTCACAGGACCCGCTGGAGAGCCGGGGAGAGAGGTAAGACACACACCTAAGACACACACCCCGTTATCTTTCATTATGCAGCTATGTAAGAGTCAGTGTGTGTTGCTGTAAGAGTCAGGTGTGTTGCTGTAAGAGTCAGTGTGTGTTGCTGTAAGAGTCAGGTGTGTTGCTATAAGAGTCAGGTGTGTTGCTATAAGAGTCAGGTGTGTTGCTGTAAGAGTCAGGTGTGTTGCTGTAAGAGTCAGTGTGTGTTGCTGTAAGAGTCAGGTGTGTTGCTGTAAGAGTCAGTGTGTGTTGCTGTAAGAATCAGGTGTGTTGCTGTAAGAGTCAGGTGTGTTGCTGTAAGAGTCAGTGTGTTGCTGTAAGAGTCAGGTGTGTTGCTATAAGAGTCAGGTGTGTTGCTGTAAGAGTCAGTGTGTGTTGCTGTAAGAGTCAGGTGTGTTGCTGTAAGAATCAGGTGTGTTGCTGTAAGAGTCAGGTGTGTTGCTGTAAGAGTCAGTGTGTTGCTGTAAGAGTCAGGTGTGTTGCTATAAGAGTCAGGTGTGTTGCTGTAAGAGTCAGTGTGTGTTGCTGTAAGAGTCAGGTGTGTTGCTGTAAGAGTCAGTGTGTTACTGTAAGAGTCAGTGTGTGTTGCTGTAAGAGTCAGGTGTGTTGCTGTAAGAGTCAGTGTGTGTTGCTGTAAGAGTCAGTGTGTTGCTGTAAGAGTCAGGTGTGTTGCTGTAAGAGTCAGTGTGTGTTGCTGTAAGAGTCAGGTGTGTTGCTGTAAGAGTCAGTGTGTTGCTGTAAGAGTCAGGTGTGTTGCTGTAAGAGTCAGTGTGTGTTGCTGTAAGAGTCAGTGTGTGTTGCTGTAAGAGTCAGTGTGTTGCTGTAAGAGTCAGTGTGTGTTGCTGTAAGAGTCAGTGTGTGTTGCTGTAAGAGTCAGTGTGTGTTGCTGTAAGAGTCAGGTGTGTTGCTGTAAGAGTCAGTGTGTGTTGCTGTAAGAGTCAGTGTGTGTTGCTGTGTAAGAGTCAGTGTGTTGCTGTAAGAGTCAGGTGTGTTGCTGTAAGAGTCAGTGTGTGTGTGTGTTGCTGTAAGAGTCAGTGTGTGTTGCTGTAAGAGTCAGTGTGTGTTGCTGTAAGAGTCAGTGTGTGTTGCTGTAAGAGTCAGTGTGTGTTGCTGTAAGAGTCAGTGTGTGTGCTGTAAGAGTCAGTGTGTGTTGCTGTAAGAGTCAGGTGTGTTGCTGTAAGAGTCAGGTGTGTTGCTGTAAGAGTCAGTGTGTGTTGCTGTAAGAGTCAGTGTGTGTTGCTGTAAGAGTCAGTGTGTGTTGCTGTAAGAGTCAGTGTGTGTTGCTGTAAGAGTCAGTGTGTGTTGCTGTAAGAGTCAGTGTGTGTTGCTGTAAGAGTCAGGTGTGTTGCTGTAAGAGTCAGTGTGTGTTGCTGTAAGAGTCAGTGTGTTGCTGTAAGAGTCAGTGTGTTGCTGTAAGAGTCAGTGTGTGTTGCTGTAAGAGTCAGTGTGTGTTGCTGTAAGAGTCAGTGTGTGTTGCTGTAAGAGTCAGTGTGTGTTGCTGTGAGAGTCAGGTGTGTTGCTGTAAGAGTCAGGTGTGTTGCTGTAAGAGTCAGTGTGTTGCTATAAGAGTCAGTGTGTTGCTGTAAGAGTCAGTGTGTTGCTGTAAGAGTCAGTGTGTTGCTGTAAGAGTCAGTGTGTTGCTGTAAGAGTCAGTGTGTGTTGCTGTAAGAGTCAGTGTGTGTTGCTGTAAGAGTCAGTGTGTTGCTGTAAGAGTCAGTGTGTTGCTGTAAGAGTCAGTGTGTTGCTGTAAGAGTCAGTGTGTTGCTGTAAGAGTCAGTGTGTTGCTGTAAGAGTCAGTGTGTGGCTGTAAGAGTCAGTGTGTTGCTGTAAGAGTCAGTGTGTGTTGCTGTAAGTCAGGTGTGTTGCTGTAAGAGTCAGTGTGTGTTGCTGTAAGTCAGGTGTGTTGCTGTAAGAGTCAGTGTGTTGCTGTAAGAGTCAGTGTGTGTTGCTGTAAGAGTCAGTGTGTTGCTGTAAGAGTCAGTGTGTTGCTGTAAGAGTCAGTGTGTGTTGCTGTAAGAGTCAGTGTGTTGCTGTAAGAGTCAGTGTGTGTTGCTGTAAGAGTCAGGTGTGTTGCTGTAAGAGTCAGTGTGTGTTGCTGTAAGAGTCAGTGTGTTGCTGTAAGAGTCAGTGTGTGTTGCTGTAAGAGTCAGTGTGTGTGGCTGTAAGAGTCAGTGTGTGTTGCTGTAAGAGTCAGGTGTGTTGCTGTAAGAGTCAGTGTGTGTTGCTATAAGAGTCAGGCGTGTTGCTGTAAGAGTCAGTGTGTGTTGCTGTAAGAGTCAGTGTGTGTTGCTGTAAAAGTCAGTGTGTGTTGCTGTAAGAGTCAGTGTGTGTTGCTGTAAGAGTCAGTGTGTTGCTGTAAGAGTCAGTGTGTGTTGCTGTAAGAGTCAGTGTGTTGCTGTAAGAGTCAGGTGTGTTGCTCTAGGAGTCAGGTGTGTTGCTGTAAGAGTCAGGTGTGTTGCTGTAAGAATCAGTGTGTGTTGCTGTAAGAGTCAGTGTGTTGCTGTAAGAGTCAGTGTGTGTTGCTGTAAGAGTCAGTGTGTGTTGCTGTAAGAGTCAGGTGTGTTGCTGTAAGAGTCAGGTGTGTTGCTGTAAGAGTCAGTGTGTTGCTGTAAGAGTCAGGTGTGTTGCTGTAAGAGTCAGTGTGTGTTGCTGTAAGAGTCAGGTGTGTTGCTGTAAGAGTCAGGTGTGTTGCTGTAAGAATCAGTGTGTGTTGTTGTAAGAGTCAGTGTGTGTTGCTGTAAGAGTCAGTGTGTTGCTGTAAGAGTCAGTGTGTTGCTGTAAGAGTCAGTGTGTTGCTGTAAGAGTCAGTGTGTTGCTGTAAGAGTCAGGTGTGTTGCTGTAAGAGTCAGGTGTGTTGCTGTAAGAGTCAGGTGTGTTGCTGTAAGAGTCAGGTGTGTTGCTGTAAGAGTCAGTGTGTGTTGCTGTAAGAGTCAGTGTGTTGCTGTAAGAGTCAGTGTGTGTTGCTGTAAGAGTCAGTGTGTGTTGCTGTAAGAGTCAGTGTGTTGCTGTAAGAGTCAGTGTGTGTTGCTGCAAGAGTCAGTGTGTGTTGCTGTAAGAGTCAGTGTGTTGCTGTAAGAGTCAGTGTGTGTTGCTGTAAGTCAGGTGTGTTTGCTGTAAGAGTCAGTGTGTTGCTGTAAGAGTCAGTGTGTGTTGCTGTAAGAGTCAGTGTGTTGCTGTAAGAGTCAGTGTGTTGCTGTAAGAGTCAGTGTGTGTTGCTGTAAGAGTCAGGTGTGTTGCTGTAAGAGTCAGTGTGTTGCTGTAAGAGTCAGTGTGTTGCTGTAAGAGTCAGGTGTGTTGCTGTAAGAGTCAGGTGTGTTGCTGTAAGAGTCAGTGTGTGTTGCTGTAAGAGTCAGGTGTGTTGCTGTAAGAGTCAGTGTGTGTTGCTGTAAGAGCAGGTGTGTTGCTGTAAGAGTCAGGTGTGTTGCTGTAAGAGTCAGTGTGTTGCTGTAAGAGTCAGGTGTGTTGCTGTAAGAGTCAGGTGTGTTGCTGTAAGAGTCAGTGTGTGTTGCTGTAAGAGTCAGTGTGTGTTGCTGTAAGAGTCAGGTGTGTTGCTGTAAGAGTCAGTGTGTTGCTGTAAGAGTCAGGTGTTGCTGTAAGAGTCAGGTGTGTTGCTGTAAGAGTCAGGTGTGTTGCTGTAAGAGTCAGTGTGTGTTGCTGTAAGAGTCAGGTGTGTTTGCTGTAAGAGTCAGTGTGTTTGCTGTAAGAGTCAGGTGTGTTGCTGTAAGAGTCAGGTGTGTTGCTGTAAGAGTCAGTGTGTGTTGCTGTAAGAGTCAGGTGTGTTGCTGTAAGAGTCAGTGTGTGTTGCTGTAAGAGTCAGTGTGTTGCTGTAAGAGTCAGGTGTGTTGCTGTAAGAGTCAGGTGTGTTGCTGTAAGAGTCAGTGTGTTGCTGTAAGAGTCAGGTGTGTTGCTGTAAGAGTCAGGTGTGTTGCTGTAAGAGTCAGTGTGTTGCTGTAAGAGTCAGGTGTGTTGCTGTAAGAGTCAGTCAGCGTAAGAGTCAGTGTGTGCTGTAAGAGTCAGTGTGTGTTGCTGTAAGTCAGTGTGTTGCTGTAAGAGTCAGTGTGTTGCTGTAAGAGTCAGTGTGTGTGCTGTAAGAGTCAGGTGTGTTGCTGTAAGAGTCAGTGTGTGTTGCTGTAAGAGTCAGGTGTGTTGCTGTAAGAGTCAGTGTGTTGCTGTAAGAGTCAGGTGTGTTGCTGTAAGAGTCAGTGTGTGTTGCTGTAAGAGTCAGTGTGTGTTGCTGTAAGAGTCAGTGTGTGTTGCTGTAAGAGTCAGTGTGTTGCTGTAAGAGTCAGTGTGTGTTGCTGTAAGAGTCAGTGTGTGTTGCTGTAAGAGTCAGTGTGTGTTGCTGTAAGAGTCAGTGTGTTGCTGTAAGAGTCAGTGTGTTGCTGTAAGAGTCAGGTGTGTTGCTGTAAGCTTCTAAGAGTCAGTGTGTGTGTGCTGTAAGAGTCAGTGTGTGTTGCTGTAAGAGTCAGTGTGTGTTGCTGTAAGAGTCAGTGTGTGTTGCTGTAAGAGTCAGTGTGTCTGTAAGAGTCAGTGTGTTGCTGTAAGAGTCAGTGTCTAGAGTGTGTGTGTTGCTGTAAGAGTCAGTGTGTTGCTGTAAGAGTCAGTGTGTGTGCTGTAAGAGTCAGTGTGTTGCTGTAAGAGTCAGTGTGTGTTGCTGTAAGAGTCAGTGTGTGTTGCTGTAAGAGTCAGTGTGTGTTGCTGTAAGAGTCAGTGTGTTGCTGTAAGAGTCAGTGTGTGTTGCTGTAAGAGTCAGTGTGTGTTGCTGTAAGAGTCAGTGTGTGTTGCTGTAAGAGTCAGTGTGTGTGTAAGAGTCAGTGTAAGAGTCAGTGTGTGTTGCTGTAAGAGTCAGTGTGTGTTGCTGTAAGAGTCAGTGTGTGTTGCTGTAAGAGTCAGTGTGTTGCTGTAAGAGTCAGTGTGTGTTGCTGTAAGAGTCAGTGTGTGTTGCTGTAAGAGTCAGTGTGTTGCTGTGCAGTGTAAGAGTCAGTGTGTGTTGCTGTAAGAGTCAGTGTGTGTTGCTGTAAGAGTCAGTGTGTTGCTGTAAGAGTCAGTGTGTGTTGCTGTAAGAGTCAGTGTGTGTTGCTGTAAGAGTCAGTGTGTTGCTGTAAGAGTCAGTGTGTGTTGTGTAAGAGTCAGTGTGTGTGTGCTGTAAGAGTCAGTGTGTGTGCTGTAAGAGTCAGTGTGTGTTGCTGTAAGTCAGGTGTGTTGCTGTAAGAGTCAGTGTGTGTTGCTGTAAGTCAGGTGTGTTGCTGTAAGAGTCAGTGTGTTGCTGTAAGAGTCAGTGTGTGTTGCTGTAAGAGTCAGTGTGTTGCTGTAAGAGTCAGTGTGTTGCTGTAAGAGTCAGTGTGTGTTGCTGTAAGAGTCAGTGTGTTGCTGTAAGAGTCAGTGTGTGTTGCTGTAAGAGTCAGGTGTGTTGCTGTAAGAGTCAGTGTGTGTTGCTGTAAGAGTCAGTGTGTTGCTGTAAGAGTCAGTGTGTGTTGCTGTAAGAGTCAGTGTGTGTGGCTGTAAGAGTCAGTGTGTGTTGCTGTAAGAGTCAGGTGTGTTGCTGTAAGAGTCAGTGTGTGTTGCTATAAGAGTCAGGGTGTTGCTGTAAGAGTCAGTGTGTGTTGCTGTAAGAGTCAGTGTGTGTTGCTGTAAGAGTCAGTGTGTGTTGCTGTAAGAGTCAGTGTGTGTTGCTGTAAGAGTCAGTGTGTGTGCTGTAAGAGTCAGTGTGTTGCTGTAGAGTCAGGTGTGTTGCTGTAAGAGTCAGGTGTGTTGCTGTAAGAGTCAGGTGTGTTGCTGTAAGAGTCAGTGTGTGTTGCTGTAAGAGTCAGTGTGTTGCTGTAAGAGTCAGTGTGTGTTGCTGTAAGAGTCAGTGTGTGTTGCTGTAAGAGTCAGGTGTGTTGCTGTAAGAGTCGTGTGTTGCTGTAAGAGTCAGTGTGTTGCTGTAAGAGTCAGGTGTGTTGCTGTAAGAGTCAGTGTGTGTTGCTGTAAGAGTCAGGTGTGTTGCTGTAAGAGTCAGGTGTGTTGCTGTAAGAATCAGTGTGTGTTGTTGTAAGAGTCAGTGTGTGTTGCTGTAAGAGTCAGTGTGTTTGCTGTAAGAGTCAGTGTGTTGCTGTAAGAGTCAGTGTGTTGCTGTAAGAGTCAGTGTGTTGCTGTAAGAGTCAGGTGTGTTGCTGTAAGAGTCAGGTGTGTTGCTGTAAGAGTCAGGTGTGTTGCTGTAAGAGTCAGTGTGTTGCTGTAAGAGTCAGGTGTGTTGCTGTAAGAGTCAGTGTGTGTTGCTGTAAGAGTCAGTGTGTTGCTGTAAGAGTCAGTGTGTGTTGCTGTAAGAGTCAGTGTGTTGCTGTAAGAGTCAGTGTGTGTTGCTGCAAGAGTCAGTGTGTGTTGCTGTAAGAGTCAGTGTGTTGCTGTAAGAGTCAGTGTGTGTTGCTGTAAGTCAGGTGTGTTGCTGTAAGAGTCAGTGTCTTGCTGTAAGAGTCAGTGTGTGTTGCTGTAAGAGTCAGTGTGTTGCTGTAAGAGTCAGTGTGTTGCTGTAAGAGTCAGTGTGTGTTGCTGTAAGAGTCAGGTGTGTTGCTGTAAGAGTCAGTGTGTTGCTGTAAGAGTCAGTGTGTTGCTGTAAGAGTCAGTGTGTTGCTGTAAGAGTCAGTGTGTTGCTGTAAGAGTCAGTGTGTTGCTCTAATCCTGATGGTTGTGTGTCAGGGTAACCCGGGGTCTGATGGTCCTCCAGGAAGAGACGGTTCTGCCGGAGTCAAAGTAAGAATCCAACATGAGTCTGTGTGAACCGTGAGCTCAGAATAATCTGTTTTTATTGTAGGGCGACCGTGGCAACACTGGACCTGCGGGGGCTCCTGGTGCTCCGGGGGCCCCTGGGGCTTCTGGTCCTGTGGGTCCCACTGGAAAACAAGGAGACCGAGGCGAGGCTGTGAGTATCATGTGTATCTGAGTACCATGTGTATCTGAGTACCATGTGTATTTGAGTACCATGTGTATCTGAGTATCATGTGTATCTGAGTACCATGTGTATCTGAGTATCATGTGTATCTGAGTACCATGTGTATCTGAGTACCATGTGTATCTGAGTACCATGTGTATCTGAGTACCATGTGTATCTGAGTACCATGTGTATTTGAGTACCATGTGTATCTGAGTACCATGTGTATCTGAGTACCATGTGTATCTGAGTATCATGTGTATCTGAGTACCATGTGTATCTGAGTACCATGTGTATTTGAGTACCATGTGTATCTGAGTACCATGTGTATCTGAGTACCATGTGTATCTGAGTACCATGTGTATCTGAGTACCATGTGTACTGTGTATCACAGGTACAAGTTCTTTCATGTGGACAGTGATTTATTAAAGTTATGAAAGTCATACATGAGAGTTCAGTCTCAGTTCATTTGCCATCTGCAGTAAAACCCCATTGGAATACATGTGCGAGAGTGCCCAGTGTGCAGCACAGGGACAGGCATGAACCAATCTAAAGAGGCTTCTGAACCAAGACAGTCTGCAGTTTTTACAGGGGGGGGGGGGGGGGGGGGGGGGGAGGGAGGAAGTAAGGAAGGGAAAGGGAGTAGGGGGGAGTAGGGGGGAGGAGGAGGGAGGAGGAGGGAGTAGGGGGGAGTAGGGGGGAGGAGGAGGGAGGAGGAGGGAGGATACAAAGAGAGGCCATTTGTAATATCACCTGTGAGCCCAAACACAGGGTTCTTATCGAGGAAATGGAGCCGTTTCTACATGTTTCTGTTTCTTATGTTACTGATGAAGTGAACGGTGATATTCCTCGTGCCTCGGTCCTGAACGTGTGTGTGTGTGTGTGTGTGTGTTCAGGGAGCACAGGGACCTGCAGGACCCGCGGGGCCGGCTGGGGCCAGAGGAATGCCTGTGAGTATCTCTGAAACACTCAAAGCAGCATCAAATATTCAGGAGTTTCTCAAAAACAGATTCAGTGAAAAACATCTTTGAAGAAAAGTGACTCCTGATTCTGTTGTTTTGTTTTTGTTATGTGACTCCGAAACTCTGTGTGTGTGTGTCTGTGTGTGTGTGTGTCTGTGTGTGTGTGTCTGTGTGTGTGTGTGTCTGTGTGTGTGTGTGTGTGTGTGTGTGTGTGTGTGTGTGTGTGTGTGTGTGTGTGTGTGTGTGTGTGTGTGTCTGTGTGTGTGTGTGTGTCTGTGTGTGTGTGTCTGTGTGTGTGTGTGTGTGTGTGTGTGTGTGTGTGTGTGTGTGTGTGTCTGTGTGTGTGTGTCTGTGTGTGTGTCTGTGTGTGTGTGTGTCTGTGTGTGTGTGTGTGTGTGTGTGTGTGTGTGTGTGTCTGTGTGTGTGTGTGTGTGTGTGTGTGTGTGTCTGTGTGTGTGTGTGTCTGTGTGTGTGTGTGTGTGTGTCTGTGTGTGTGTGTGTGTCTGTGTGTGTGTGTGGGTCTGTGTGTGTGTCTGTGTGTGTGTGTGTCTGTGTGTCTGTGTGTCTGTGTGTGTGTGTGTGTTGTGTGTGTGTGTGTGTGTGTGTGTGTGTGTGTGTGTGTGTGTGTGTGTGTGTGTGTGTGTGTGTGTGTGTGTGTGTGTCTGTGTCTGTGTGTGTGTGTGTGTGTGTGTCTGTGTCTGTGTGTGTGTGTGTGTCTGTGTGTGTGTGTGTCTGTGAGTGTGTGTGTGTGTGTCTGTGTGTGTGTGTGTCTGTGTGTGTGTGTGTGTCTGTGTCTGTGTGTGTGTGTCTGTGTGTGTGTGTGTGTCTGTGTGTCTGTGTGTGTGTCTGTGTGTGTGTGTGTGTGTGTGTGTGTGTGTGTGTGTGTGTCTGTGTGTGTGGGTCTGTGTGTGTGTGTGTGTGTGTGTGTGTGTGTGTGTCTGTGTGTGTGTGTGTGTCTGTGTGTGTGTGTGTGTGTGTGTGTGTGTGTGTGTGTGTGTGTGTGTGTGTGTGTGCGTGTGTCTGTGTGTGTCTGTGTGTGTCTGTGTGTGTGTCTGTGTGTGTGTGTGTGTGTGTCTGTGTGTGTGTGTGTGTCTGTGTGTGTGTGTCTGTGTGTGTGTGTCTGTGTGTGTGTGTGCAGGGACCACAAGGACCTCGTGGGGACAAAGGAGAAGGTGGAGACGGAGGAGAGAGAGGACAGAAGGGACACAGAGGCTTCACGGGGCTGCAGGGCCTGCCCGGGCCTCCGGTACCTATGCTACTGTGTTTCTGTGCAGCTCTGTCCTGAGATATAGGCTCAGCCCCTGTGTATGCACCTGTGTATGCACCTGTGTCTGTACCTGTGTATGCACCTGTGTATTCACCTATGTCTGCACTTGTGTGTGCACTTGTGTGTGCACCTGTGTATACACCTGTGTCTGCACCTGTGTATACACTTGTGTCTGTACCTGTGTCTGCACCTGTGTATGCACCTGTGTATACACCTGTGTCAGCACCTGTGTATGCACCTGTGTCTGCACCTGTGTCAGCCCCTGTGTATACACCTGTGTATACACCTGTGTTTGCACCTGTGTCTGCACCTGTGTATACACCTGTGTTTTTGCACCTGTGTTTGCACCTGTGTTTGCACCTGTGTATCAGTGTATTGTGTGTCTCGTAGGGTCAAGCTGGAGACCAGGGCGCAACTGGACCTTCAGGACCTTCTGGACAGAGAGTAGGTTCAGATAAACTCAGATTAGCTCAGATTAGCTCAGATTATGTGGAGCATCACATATTAATTCCAGTGTGTTGTTTAGGGACCCCCCGGGCCTGTGGGCCCCGCAGGAAAGGACGGGGCGAACGGACTCCCAGGACCCATCGGACCCCCCGGACCACGAGGACGCAGCGGAGACACCGGTCCCAGTGTAAATAATCCTCTCACTCGTCATCAGGAACTGCACCGGAACAAACACAGACTTTAACTGAAAAACATTATATTTTATTATTTTATATCATCAGAGGAGAACAAGATAAGATCAGTTATTGATCTGTGATGTCACATCAGTTATTGATCTGTGATGTCACATCAGTTATTGATCTGTGATGTCACATCACGGATAGAAACACCAGATTGGGCAAAAGACAGAAATGTGCAACATGTTAAATGCAGGATAAATTATGTACAATAAACAGTGACAATAGTAGTGCAGGTTTTTAGTCCTAATGCAGTGACTTAAAGAGACTTGTTGAACAGTCTGACAGTGGTGGGGATTGCTCTGAGAGGAGCTCCTCAGCTCCTCCTCAGTCCTGGGCAGGAGGTGTTGTTCATGATGGAGGTGACTTTGACTAGCACCTCCTGTCCCTCACCTCCTCCACAGAGTCCAGGGGCCTCTTGTCCCTCACCTCCTCCACAGAGTCCAGGGGCCTCCTGTCCCTCACCTCCTCCACAGAGTCCAGGGGCCTCTTGTCCCTCACCTCCTCCACAGAGTCCAGGGGCCTCCTGTCCCTCACCTCCCACCTCCTCCACAGAGTCCAGGGGCCTCTTGTCCCTCACCTCCTCCACAGAGTCCAGGGGCCTCTTGTCCCTCACCTCCTCCACAGAGTCCAGGGGCCTCTTGTCCCTCACCTCCTCCACAGAGTCCAGGGGCCTCTTGTCCCTCACCTCCTCCACAGAGTCCAGGGGCCTCTTGTCCCTCACCTCCTCCACAGAGTCCAGGGGCCTCTTGTCCCTCACCTCCTCCTGACCAGCTTGTTCAGTCTACTCCTGTCCCGCTCTGTGCTGCCCGGGGCCCAGCACATGGCAGCGTAGTATATGGCAGAGGCCTGCTCACTCCGAAGGACCTCAGCCTCCTCAGAAGGACCTCAGCCTCCTCAGAAGGACCTCAGCCTCCTCAGAAGGACCTCAGCCTCCTCAGAAGGACCTCAGCCTCCTCAGAAGGACCTCAGCCTCCTCAGAAGGACCTCAGCCTCCTCAGAAGGACCTCAGCCTCCTCAGAAGGACCTCAGCCTCCTCAGAAGGACCTCAGTCTCCTCAGAAGGACCTCAGCCTCCTCAGAAGGACCTCAGCCTCCTCAGAAGGAAGAGGCGACTTTGGCCCTTCTTGTGCAGGGCGTTTGTATTATGGGACCAGTCCAGTTTATTGTTAATGTGAACACCCAGGTACTTGAAGCTGTCCACCAGCTCAATGTCCTCCCCCTGGATGTTCAGCAGCGTGTGGGAAAGTGGTTTTCTCCTGAAGTCGATGACCGTCTCCTTGGTCTTACTGGTGTTAGCACAGGTACCATCTCCTTGGTCTTACTGGTGTTAGCACAGGTACCATCTCCTTGGTCTTACTGGTGTTAGCACAGGTACCATCTCCTTGGTCTTACTGGTGTTAGCACAGGTACCATCTCCTTGGTCTTACTGGTGTTAGCACAGGTACCATCTCCTTGGTCTTACTGGTGTTAGCACAGGTACCATCTCCTTGGTCTTACTGGTGTTAGCACAGGTACCATCTCCTTGGTCTTACTGGTGCAGCACAGGTACCATCTCCTTGGTCTTACTGGTGTTAGCACAGGTACCATCTCCTTGGTCTTACTGGTGTTAGCACAGGTACCATCTCCTTGGTCTTACTGGTGTTAGCACAGGTACCATCTCCTTGGTCTTACTGGTGTTAGCACAGGTACCATCTCCTTGGTCTTACTGGTGTTAGCACAGGTACCATCTCCTTGGTCTTACTGGTGCAGCACAGGTACCATCTCCTTGGTCTTACTGGTGTTAGCACAGGTACCATCTCCTTGGTCTTACTGGTGTTAGCACAGGTACCATCTCCTTGGTCTTACTGGTGTTAGCACAGGTACCATCTCCTTGGTCTTACTGGTGCAGCACAGGTACCATCTCCTTGGTCTTACTGGTGTTAGCACAGGTACCATCTCCTTGGTCTTACTGGTGTTAGCACAGGTACCATCTCCTTGGTCTTACTGGTGTTAGCACAGGTACCATCTCCTTAGTCTTACTGGTGTTAGCACAGGTACCATCTCCTTGGTCTTACTGGTGTTAGCACAGGTACCATCTCCTTAGTCTTACTGGTGCAGCTGTGTGTGTCGTGTGTGAAGTCTGAAGTGTAGATGGTGAAGAGAAACGATGAGAGGACAGTGCCCTGAGGGGCCCCTGTTGGGGCCCCAGTGCTGCAGACGGCCACCTCAGACTCACAGCTGCAGCCGCACGTAGGAGAGGAGCGGATTTCCTCGGCTTCAGTCGCTGGAGCTGACTCCTCACCTGGTCCTCACCTGGTCCTCACCTGGTCCTCACCTGGTCCTCACCTGGTCCTCACCTGGTCCGGTGTGATGGAGAAGGGGGGGGGGCGGTTTACTGTCAGAGGTGGGGGTAGGGGGGCCCGGGGCAGCCGAAGGCAGTGTCTACTGGGCGGTGTCCACTGGGCTGGGGACGTGTGAAGAGGTGGGGGTGGGAGGGGGGGGGTAGATGGAGAGGGGGGCAGATGGAGAGGGGGGCAGATGGAGAGGGGGGCAGATGGAGAGGGGGGTAGATGGAGAGGGGGGCAGATGGAGAGGGGGGGCAGATGGAGAGGGGGGCAGATGGAGAGGGGGGCAGATGGAGAGGGGGCAGATGGAGAGGGGGGCAGATGGAGAGGGGGGGCAGATGGAGAGGGGGGCAGATGGAGAGGGGGGGCAGATGGAGAGGGGGGCAGATGGAGAGGGGGGGCAGATGGAGAGGGGGGCAGATGGAGAGGGGGGGGCAGATGGAGAGGGGGGCAGATGGAGAGGGGGGCAGATGGAGAGGGGGGGCAGATGGAGAGGGGGGCAGATGGAGAGGGGGGGGCCGATGGATAGGGGGGAGAATCAAACCGGTTGAAATTCATCCGCCCGGTGCTGGTCTCCATCTGCTGTTCCTCTGGCACTCTGTCCAAAGCCGGAGATGTTCTTTAGGCCTCTCCACACGTCGCGGGCGTTTCCCTGGGCCAGCTTCTGCTCCTCTTTTTCCCATGGTCCTTCTTGGCCCTCCTGATCCTACACTGGAGCTCGGTCTGGATCCTCTGCTCCTCTTTGTCCCCTGAGGTTCAGGAGGGTTGGATGTATACACATATAGTTAAACCATAATTTACAAAGCTGAGCTTTAAGTCTGGTTCCGCTGTAGGAGAGTCTGAACTGAAGCCCTGTGATTGAACTGAAGACCAGATGTCAGACTAAAACAGTATGACCAACATTTTAAACATGTGTCTTTGAAGGGACCCCCAGGAAACCCAGGCCCCACCGGCCCCCCCGGGCCCCCAGGCCCTGGCATTGACATGTCTGCCTTCGCTGGTTTGGGTCAGACTGACAAAGGTCCAGATCCGCTCAGGTTCATGAGGGCGGACCAAGCCTCAGGAAACCTCCGGCAGCACGACGCTGAAGTGGACGCCACCCTCAAGTCTCTCAACAACCAGATCGAGAACATCCGCAGTCCTGAGGGGTCCAGGAAGAACCCAGCCCGGACCTGCAGAGACCTGAGGCTCTGCCACCCGGACTGGAAGAGCGGTGAGTGACCGGGGAGAGGGACCGGGGAGAGGGACCGGGGAGAGGGACCGGGGAGAGGGACCGGGGAGAGGGACCGGGGAGAGGGATGTATGTGTGTAATCTGTATGTATGTAATCTCTATGTGTGTAAACTGTGTGTGTGTAATCTGTGTGTGTAATCTGTATGTGTGTAAACTGTGTGTGTGTAATCTGTGTGTGTAATCTGTATGTGTGTAAACTGTATGTGTGTGCAATCTGTATGTGTCTGTAATCAGCATGTGTGTAAACTGTGTGTAATCTTTGTGTAATCTGTATGTGTGTAATCTGTGCGTAACCTGTGTGTGTAATCTGTATGTGTGTGTAATCTGTATGTGTATTATGTGTGTGTAATATGTGTGTAATCTGTTTGTTTTCTGCATGTGTGTGTAGGTAATCTGTATGTGTGTAATCTGTATGTGTTATCTGTGTGTGTGTGTGTGTATTCTGTGTGTGTGTGTAATATATGCGTAATCTGTTTGTGTGCAATTTCTACATAATCTGTGTGTGTTTGTGTGTAATCTGTGTGTGTATAATCTGTGTGTGTAAACTGTGTGTAATCTGTGTGTAATCTGTGTGTGTAATCTTTGTGTGTGTAATCTGTATGTGTGTAATGTGTATGTGTCTAAACTGTATGTGTGTGTAATCTGTATGTGTAATCTGTATGTGTGTAATCTGTATGTATGTAATCTCTATGTATGTAAACTGTGTGTGTGTAATCTGTGTGTGTAATCTGTATGTGTGTAATCTGTATGTGTCTAATCTGTATGTGTGTGTAATCTGTATGTGTGTAAACTGTATGTGTGTGTAATCTGTATGTGTCTGTAATCAGCATGTGTGTAAACTGTGTGTAATCTTTGTGTAATCTGTGCGTAACCTGTGTGTGTAATCTGTATGTGTGTGTAATCTGTATGTGTATTATGTGTGTGTAATATGTGTGTAATCTGTTTGTTTTCTGCATGTGTGTGTGTGTAATCTGTATGTGTTATCTGTGTGTGTGTGTGTATTCTGTGTGTGTGTGTAATATGTGCGTAATCTGTTTGTGTGCAATTTCTACATAATCTGTGTGTGTTTGTGTGTAATCTGTGTGTGTATAATCTGTGTGTGTAAACTGTGTGTAATCTTTGTGTAATCTGTGTGTGTAATCTTTGTGTGTGTAATCTGTATGTGTGTAATCTGTATGTGTGTGTAATCTGTATGTGTGTAATCTGTATGTGTGTGTAATCTGTATGTGTGTAATCTGTATGTGTATGTAATCTGTATGTGTGTGTAATCTGTATGTGTGTGTAATCTGTATGTGTGTAAACTGTGTGCAATCTTTGTGTAATCTGTATGTGTGTAATCTTTGTGAAATTTGTATGTGTATAATCTGTATGTGTAATCTGTATGTGTGTAATCTGTATGTGTGTAATCTCTACTGTATGTGTGTAATCTGTGTGTTGAATATTTGTGTAATCTGTATGTGTGTGTAATCTATATGTGTGTGTAATCTGCATGTGTGTAATCTGTATGTGTGTGTAATCTATATGTGTGTGTAATCTGCATGTGTGTAATCTGTATGTGTGTGTAATCTGTATGTGTGTAATCTGTGTGTAATCTGTGTGTGTATTATCTTTGTGTAATCTGTGTGTGTGTATTATCTCTGTGTAATCTGTGTGTGTATTATCTTTGTTTAATCTGTGTGTGTGTGTGAGTATAATCTGTGTGTGTGTATAATCCGTGTGTAATCTGTGTGTCATCTGTGTGTGTAATCTGTATGTAATCTGTATGTAATCTGTGTGTGTGTGTGTATTATCCATGTGTAATCTGTGTGTAATCTGTGTGTAATCTGCAGGCGAGTACTGGATCGATCCAAACCAGGGCTGCACAGTCGATGCCATCAGAGTTTTCTGTAACATGGAAACTGGAGAGTCCTGTGTTCGACCCAGACCCAGCTCTGTGCCCAGGAAGAACTGGTGGACCAGCAAGAGCAAAGAGCGGAAACACATCTGGTTTGGAGAGACCATGAACGGGGGACACCAGGTGAGTGTGACATCACAGCCACCTCTTGATGACATCATTAGTGTGACATCACAGCCACCTCTTGATGACATCCTTAGTGTGACATCACAGCCACCTCTTGATGACATCATTAGTGTGACATCACAGCCACCTCTTGATGACATCATAGGTTTAAGTTTAGTTTATTAAGGACCGGGTTGAGTCGCTTTCCACCGGTCGTCCTGACGACACAATCACATCATTTATGTTAGAATACAGTTCAAATTAAAAGTGCAAGTGACTAAAATACATATTAAAATACCGTCCATCCTTCTTCCCCTTAATCCATTTCTGGGTTGGGGGTGGCAGTCAGAGCACCAGCCCCTCACTGATCCTCCTGCAGGTGGTGCGTCCATAGGAGCTGAGATCTTTCAGCGGGGGCTCCGGGCAAAGTGGGGTTAAGTGTCTTGCCCAAGGACACATCAACAGCAGACATCAGTGGGAGTCGGTGGAGAAGGTGTCGAGGTGGGAAATGAACCCACGACCTTCAGGCCTAAAGGCCAATGCTCTACCAACTGAGCTACTGTCGCCCCATTAAAATACCGTATATATTAAAACATATAAAAGCTAACCGTGATGTCTGTCTGTGCAGTTCTCCTACGGCGATGAGAGCGTGGCGCCCAACACGGCGTCCATCCAGATAACGTTCCTGCGGCTGCTGTCCACGGAGGCCTCTCAGAACCTCACGTACCACTGTAAGAACAGCGTGGCCTACAGGGACTCAGCCGGGACCCTGCTCCAGGCCCTGGTCCTGCAGGGGTCCAACCAAGTGGAGATCAGGCCAGAGGGCACCAGCCGCTTCTCCTACAGCGTCACGGAGGACGGCTGCACGGTCAGACCCCGACCCAGACTCAGACCCGGACCCAGACTCAGACCCGGACCCAGACTCAGACCCGGACCCAGACCAGGCTCAGAGTCAGACTCAGACTCAGGCTCAGGCTCAGACTCAGGCTCAGGCTCAGGCTCAGGCTCAGGCTAAGGCAGACTCAGGCTCAGACTCAGACTCAGGCTCAGGCTCAGGCTCAGACTCAGGCTCAGGCTCAGGCTCAGACTCAGGCTAAGGCTCAGACTCAGGCTCAGACTCAGACTCAGGCTCAGGCTCAGGCTCAGACTCAGGCTCAGACCCAGACCAGGCTCAGGCTCAGACTCAGGCTCAGGCTCAGACTCAGACCCAGACCAGGCTCAGGCTCACTCAGGCTCAGGCTCAGGCTCAGGCTCAGACTAAGGCTCAGACTCAGGCTCAGGCTCAGGCTCAGGCTCAGGCTCAGACTAAGGCTCAGACTCAGGCTCAGACCAGGCTCAGGCTCAGGCTCAGACTCAGGCTCAGACCCAGACCAGGCTCAGGCTCAGACTCAGGCTCAGGCTCAGGCTCAGACTCAGACTCAGGCTAAGGCTCAGACTCAGGCTCAGACCCAGACCAGGCTCAGGCTCAGGCTCAGACCCAGACCAGGCTCAGGCTCAGACTCAGGCTCAGGCTCAGACTCAGGCTAAGGCTCAGACTCAGGCTCAGACCAGGCTCAGGCTCAGACTCAGGCTCAGGCTCAGGCTCAGACTCAGGCTCAGACCCAGACCAGGCTCAGGCTCAGACTCAGGCTCAGGCTCAGGCTCAGACTCAGACCCAGACCAGGCTCAGGCTCAGGCTCAGACTCAGACCCAGACCAGGCTCAGGCTCAGGCTCAGACTCAGGCTCAGGCTCAGGCTCAGGCTCACCTCAGACCCAAACCAGAATCAGACTTAGATTCAGGCTCAGACCCAGACCAGGCTCAGGCTCAGACTCAGGCTCAGGCTCAGGCTCAGACTCAGACCCAGACCAGGCTCAGGCTCAGGCTCAGGCTCAGACTCAGGCTCAGGCTCAGGCTCAGGCTCAGGCTCACCTCAGACCCAAACCAGAATCAGACTCAGACCAGACTCAGACCCAGACCAGGCTCAGGCTCAGGCTCAGGCTCAGGCTCAGACCCAGACCAGGCTCAGGCTCAGACTCAGGCTCAGACCCAGACCAGGCTCAGGCTCAGGCTCAGACCAGGCTCAGGCTCAGACTCAGGCTCAGACCCAGACCAGGCTCAGGCTCAGGCTCAGGCTCAGACCCAGGCTCAGGCTTAGGCTCAGACTCAGGCTCAGGCTCAGGCTCAGGCTCACCTCAGACCCAAACCAGAATCAGACTCAGATCAGACTCAGACTGCAGACGCTGCTCCCTCTGGTGGCAGCACAGATATCGTACTTGTTTCATCCTCAGTTTAAAGGTGAAGTGTGTGTCTCCACAGAAGCACACGGGGCAGTGGGGGCAGACGGTGTTCCAGTACCACTCACAGAAGACGTCTCGACTGCCGCTCGTGGACATTGCACCGATGGATATAGGAGGAGCGGAGCAGGAGTTTGGAATCAGCCTGGGCCCAGTTTGCTTCTTGTAAAAACACAGAGGACAAATGACGGGAAGAAAAAGTGAAAAAGGAGAAAACAAAGAAACAAAAACTTTTCAATGGGACGTTTTTCTGATGAACTCTGCACTGTCGTCTGTGAGGTCACACGTCTGTGAGGTCACACGTCTGTGAGGTCACACGTCTGTGATGTCACACGTCTGTGAGGTCACACGTCTGTGATGTCACACGTCTGTGATGTCACACGTCTGTGAGGTCACACGTCTGTGATGTCACACGTCTGTGATGTCACACGTCTGTGAGGTCACACGTCTGTGAGGTCACACGTCTGTGATGTCACACGTCTGTGATGTCACACGTCTGTGATGTCACACGTCTGCAGGAGTCTGAAGCCAGGAAATCCTTTACTGTTATTTATTTATTGTGTTTGGACCAGAGTCAGTGCCACAGTCGCCCCCAGCACCACCTCCTCAGCTGTAGCTCCTCAGCTGTAGCTCCTCAGCTGTAGCTCCTCAGCAGGAGCTCCTCAGCAGTAGCTCCTCAGCTGTAGCTCCTCACCTGTAGCTCCTCAGCTGTAGCTCCTCAGCTGTAGCTCCTCACAGTCGATGTGAGAAAAGGATGGTGCTGATGTCTGAGATTTTCCAAAGTCCACTTCCTGGACTCGCTGTGAAACCGCTACAGACCTGTGTTTGTTTCATGATCCTCGGCTCAGTTTGTAAAACCTTCATCTAAAACAGAAAATATGACCCACGCAGAGGCTCAGAGGAAATGTCAGTGTTGCATTCACAGTTACAGAGGAGCACTGACTCTAAACTGAAACCCTAAGGTCTAGACCAGGCTCAGACTTAGGCCTAACCCTAAGGTCTAGACCAGGCTCAGACTCAGGCCTAACCCTAAGGTCTAGACCAGGCTCAGACTCAGGCCTAACCCTAAGGTCTAGACCAGGCTCAGACTGAGGCCTAACCCTAAGGTCTAGACCAGGCTCAGACTCAGGCCTAACCCTAAGGTCTAGACCAGGCTCAGACTGAGGCCTAACCCTAAGGTCTAGACCAGGCTCAGACTCAGGCCTAACCCTAAGGTCTAGACCAGGCTCAGACTGAGGCCTAACCCTAAGGTCTAGACCAAGCTCAGACTCAGGCCTAACCCTAAGGTCTAGACCAGGCTCAGACTGAGGCCTAACCCTAAGGTCTAGACCAGGCTCAGACTGAGGCCTAACCCTAAGGTCTAGACCAGGCTCAGACTGAGGCCTAACCCTAAGGTCTAGACCAGGCTCAGACTCAGGCCTAACCCTAAGGTCTAGACCAGGCTCAGACTCAGGCCTAACCCTGACCCTAAGGTCTAGACCAGGCTCAAACTGAGGCCTAACCCTAAGGTCTAGACCAGGCTCAGACTCAGGCCTAACCCTAAGGTCTAGACCAGGCTCAGACTGAGGCCTAACCCTGACCCTAAGGTCTAGACCAGGCTCAGACTGAGGCCTAACCCTGACCCTAAGGTCTAGACCAGGCTCAGACTGAGGCCTAACCCTGACCCTAAGGTCTAGACCAGGCTCAGACTGAGGCCTAACCCTGACCCTAAGGTCTAGACCAGGCTCAGACTCAGGCCTAACCCTGACCCTAAGGTCTAGACTCTGTAGCTTCAGTGGAAACAGACTCTGAGCGTCGTCACAAACACAGGTTCATCTGAGTTTCACATGTGACGTATCAAAGGGACGGTCCCTGTGAGCCATGTTTTTGAGTCCAAACAGAGTCAGTGGATACAAAGGCTCAGGCTCGTTTTAATGTTTGACTTTTGGAACAAAGATGTTGGACTTTCAGAGGTTCACTTTAAACCAGAACTGTTCTGTTTATTATTGTTATTATTATTATTGATAATCCCTAAATGATTATTAAATATTAATACTGTTTGTTACACTTCATGACTTTAAATCTGAATAAAACACACAACTATGAAACGGCTGGATTCATCAATGAAAATAAATCACATGACAGAGGGAGGAGACCAGGAGGAGACCAGGAGGAGACCAGGAGGAGACCAGGAGGAGACCAAGAGGAGACCAGGAGGAGACCAGGAGGAGACCAGGATACAGAGGGAGGAGACCAGGAGGAGACCAGAACACAGAGGGAGGAGACCAGGAGGAGACCAGGTTACAGAGGGAGGAGACCAGGAGGAGACCAGGAGGAGACCAGGAGGAGACCAGGACACAGAGGGAGGAGACCAGGAGGAGACCAGGAGGAGACCAGGAGGAGACCAGGAGGAGACCAGGATACAGAGGGAGGAGACCAGGAGGAGACCAGAACACAGAGGGAGGAGACCAGGAGGAGACCAGGACACAGAGGGAGGAGACCAGGAGGAGACCAGGAGGAGACCAGGACACAGAGGGAGGAGACCAGGAGGAGACCAGGAGGAGACCAGAACACAGAGGGAGGAGAACCAGGAGGAGACCAGGACACAGAGGGAGGAGACCAGGAGGAGACCAGGAGGAGACCAGGACACAGAGGGAGGAGACCAGGAGGAGACCAGGAGGAGACCAGAACACAGAGGGAGGAGACCAGGAGGAGACCAGGACACAGAGGGAGGAGACCAGGAGGAGACCAGGACACAGAGGGAGGAGACCAGGAGGAGACCAGGAGGAGACCAGAACACAGAGGGAGGAGACCAGGAGGAGACCAGGACACAGAGGGAGGAGACCAGGAGGAGACCAGGAGGAGACCAGAACACAGAGGGAGGAGACCAGGAGGAGACCAGGACACAGAGGGAGGAGACCAGGAGGAGACCAGGAGGAGACCAGGACACAGAGGGAGGAGACCAGGAGGAGACCAGGAGGAGACCAGAACACAGAGGGAGGAGACCAGGAGGAAACCAGGAGGAGACCAGAACACAGAGGGAGGAGACCAGGAGGAGACCAGGACACAGAGGGAGGAGACCAGGAGGAGACCAGGACACAGAGGGAGGAGACCAGGACACAGAGGGAGGAGACCAGGAGGAGACCAGGAGGAGACCAGGACACAGAGGGAGGAGACCAGGAGGAGACCCAGGACACAGAGGGAGGAGACCAGGACACAGAGGGAGGAGACCAGTAGGAGACCAGGAGGAGACCAGGACACAGAGGGAGACCAGGAGGAGACCAGGAGGAGACCAGGACACAGAGGGAGGAGACCAGGAGGAGACCAGGACACAGAGGGAGGAGACCAGGAGGAGACCAGGAAACAGAGGGAGGAGACCAGGAGGAGACCAGGAGGAGACCAGGACACAGAGGGAGGAGACCAGGAGGAGACCAGGAGGAGACCAGGACACAGAGGGAGGAGACCAGGAGGAGACCAGGACACAGAGGGAGGAGACCAGGAGGAGACCAGAACACAGAGGGAGGAGACCAGGACACAGAGGGAGGAGACCAGGAGGAGACCAGGAGGAGACCAGGACACAGAGGGAGGAGACCAGGAGGAGACCAGAACACAGAGGGAGGAGACCAGGAGGAGACCAGAACACAGAGGGAGGAGACCAGGAGGAGACCAGGAGGAGACCAGAACACAGAGGGAGGAGACCAGGAGGAGACCAGAACACAGAGGGAGGAGACCAGGAGGAGACCAGGAGGAGACCAGGACACAGAGGGAGGAGACCAGGAGGAGACCAGGAGGAGACCAGAACACAGAGGGAGGAGACCAGGAGGAGACCTGGACACAGAGGGAGGAGACCAGGAGGAGACCAGGACACAGAGGGAGGAGACCAGGAGGAGACCAGGAGGAGACCAGAACACAGAGGGAGGAGACCAGGAGGAGACCAGGAGGAGACCAGGACACAGAGGGAGGAGACCAGGAGGAGACCAGGACACAGAGGGAGGAGACCAGGAGGAGACCAGGACACAGAGGGAGGAGACCAGGAGGAGACCCAGGACACAGAGGGAGGAGACCAGGACACAGAGGGAGGAGACCAGGAGGAGACCAGGACACAGAGGGAGGAGACCAGGAGGAGACCAGGACACAGAGGGAGGAGACCAGGAGGAGACCAGAACACAGAGGGAGGAGACCAGGAGGAGACCAGGACACCGAGGGAGGAGACCAGGAGGAGACCAGGACACAGAGGGAGGAGACCAGGAGGAGACCAGGACACAGAGGGAGGAGACCAGGAGGAGACCAGGAGGAGACCAGGAGGAGACCCAGGACACAGAGGGAGGAGACCAGGAGGAGACCAGGACATAGAGGGAGGAGACCAGGAGGAGACCAGGAGGAGACCCGGGAGGAGACCCAGGACACAGAGGGAGGAGACCAGGACACAGAGGGAGGAGACCAGGAGGAGACCAGGACACAGAGGGAGGAGACCAGGAGGAGACCCAGGACACAGAGGGACTGCCTCTCTGGGAACGCCTTGGGGTCGGACGAGCTGGAGGAAGTGTGTGAGAGGGAAGTCTGGGCGTCTCTGCTCAGTCTGCTGCCCCCGCGACCCGGCAACAGATGAAGCGGAAGAAAATGGATGATCACATGACTGAGGGACTGGGAGAAGAAAGAAGAGAAAATTAAAGCCGCAAGCGGCATCTAACGGCCCTCGCCGCACCGCGCAAAGGAGGTGGCGCTGACGCGCCATTTTCCCACTGCCCCGACGGGAGCGACACTGTGCATTTTGAATTCCTATGATCAGTGATTGTGAGTCTCTATTGAAAAGATGAACCCCAGTCTCTCCATGTAACACTTGTATCACTCTGTAGGGGGCGCTATTGCTGCAATTTCGTCTTTTACACTTTCAGTTTATCCAAACCCGAGACTTGTGGCAAAGTTTGGTGAGTTTTCGTGTTTGTTCAGTGGGTCAAATATGAGATCAAACAAAAGAAAACCTAAATACCTGTATCCCCATGTAAACCTTTACTCAGCCTGTAGGGGGCGCTAATGGGCCAATGTAATTGTTCGCACTGTCATGTGACCTAGGCCCAGGAGTTAAACAACCGAGTCAAGTTTAGTGAATGTGCTCCTGTTTGCACATACAATCTGAGTGTGTCCATAGAGTCTCCATTGGATAACATGGGAACTTCACACCTCTCTATGAAAATAACCACACTTTGGGAGTCTGTCACGCTCAGACCGTTTGACTTATTCAAATTCTATATTCAACTATTGATGGTCCATGTGTTGAGACCATGTGGAGCGATTTTGAGACAAATCGGTGAAGCGGCCGAGGAGGAGATAATTTCCAGCCGACATGTGTGAAAAATATCAATTTTCATTTTTCCATTTCCCAATTAAATTAATGAGTTCCCTGTTTGTCAGGGGGCGGAGCCATAATAACTTTTTTTTCATGTCTTGACTTGAGGAACATGTGTACCGAGTTTCGTGGCTCTACGACAAACTTGACCTCCAACCCCCTCCCATAGGCGCAATGTAAACTGACTTTTGTAGGGGGCGCTGTTCTGTCATTTTTTTAGTCCCATAAAAATAAACACCAAAAAATTAATTTTTCGACGGTTCTGAATTTTGGGCAAAATTTCACAACTTTTCATCGATGTTCAGGGGGTCAAATTAAGGTTCAAAGTGCAGAAGAAAAAAGAAAGAAAGAAACCAAACCAAACAATTTTTTTGTAAATCTTCGAGTAAAAACAATATAGGTTTCCATAGTAACCTATAATACAAATGATACGTTGTTTTAAAGCGAACCCCGAGGCGAACCCAACTATTGGGTTCTTGCCATCATGAGGTCACCCACCCCCCCCCATAGGACCCCATTGATTACACTGTGTACTACAGCAGGAGCAAAGCCATTCAGTGCCTCCGGCACTGTTTTGTCAGTGTCTGGGCACGCGCCGTCGGGTTTGGGGGACGCACATTCGTCCATAAGACAGTTGAAGGAACCCCCCTTTAATAGGACTTCAATCATTTCACAGTGTACTACAGCAGGAGCAAAGCCATGTGCCTCCGGCACTGTTTTATCAGTGTCTGGGCACGTGCCGTCGGGTGCAGGTCACAATGTGACTTATGACAGTTACGAGTAATGCCTGGGCGAAAGCAATAGGCCCTTACCCCGGTTGGGGCTCGGGCCTAATACAAATGTCCGATAAACAGTGAAACAACAAAAATAAGATAAATAGTTATGAATGTTGTTAGTACTATTCATTTATTTCTTTGACACAAACTTTTATCATCGACAGAACTTTATTTAACAGTAAAACGACACGACTTCCTGAGAAGAAAACACACACATCTTTATTGTTTTAACAGAAACACTGAAGGACAGTGTTAGTGTCCAGATCTAACATTTCAGACATAAGAGACACACACACACACACACACAGACACACAGACACACACACACACACAAGAAGGTTTCTCTGCCTTTACTTTGGGAACATAAATATTTTATCCTAACTTTCTATTTTGGGAGCAGGGGGTGACATCAAACGTTAGATTTAAAGCTCCAGTAAAAACCTTTGGTCAAAGAAAGATAAATATTATAATAAATAGCCCAGTCTTGATTTGAGACTGGGCTCGAAATAATGATAAAAACCTTTGTTCTTGTCCTAGAGGTGGCTCTTTGTTGGCTTCCATGGAGATTTTTGTTTTGGTTCTACTTCCAGAAGTTTGTGCCATCTGTGTGCCATCTGTGTGCCATCTGTGTGGCGTCTATGTGCCATCTATGTGCCATCTGTGTGGCGTCTATGTGCCATCTGTGTGCCATCTGTGTGGCGTCTATGTGCCATCTGTGTGGCGTCTATGTGCCATCTGTGTGGCGTCTATGTGCCATCTGTGTGGCGTCTATGTGCCATCTGTGTGCCATCTGTGTGCCATCTGTGTGGCGTCTATGTGCCATCTGTGTGCCATCTGTGTGGCGTCTATGTGCCATCTGTGTGCCATCTGTGTGCCATCTGTGTGGCGTCTATGTGCCATCTGTGTGCCATCTGTGTGGCGTCTATGTGCCATCTATGTGCCATCTGTGTGACGTCTATGTGCCATCTGTGTGCCATCTGTGTGGCGTCTGTGTGGCGTCTATGTGCCATCTGTGTGGCGTCTGTGTGCCATCTGTGTGCCATCTGTGTGGCGTCTATGTGCCATCTGTGTGCCATCTGTGTGGCGTCTATGTGCCATCTGTGTGGCGTCTATGTGCCATCTGTGTGGCGTCTATGTGCCATCTGTGTGGCGTCTATGTGCCATCTGTGTGCCATCTGTGTGGCGTCTATGTGCCATCTGTGTGCCATCTGTGTGGCGTCTATGTGCCATCTGTGTGCCATCTGTGTGCCATCTGTGTGGCGTCTATGTGCCATCTATGTGCCATCTGTGTGGCCTATGTCCATCTGTGTGGGTGTCTGTGTGGCTCTAGTGCCATCTATGTGCCATCTGTGTGGCGTCTATGTGCCATCTGTGTGGCGTCTGTGTGGCGTCTATGTGCCATCTGTGTGGCGTCTGTGTGCCATCTGTGTGGCGTCTGTGTGCCATCTGTGTGCCATCTGTGTGGCGTCTATGTGCCATCTATGTGCCATCTGTGTGGCGTCTATGTGCCATCTGTGTGCCATCTGTGTGCCATCTGTGTGGCGTCTATGTGCCATCTATGTGCCATCTGTGTGGCGTCTATGTGCCATCTGTGTGCCATCTGTGTGGCGTCTATGTGCCATCTGTGTGGCGTCTATGTGCCATCTGTGTGCCATCTGTGTGGCGTCTATGTGCCATCTGTGTGGCGTCTATGTGCCATCTGTGTGCCATCTGTGTGCCATCTGTGTGGCGTCTATGTGCCATCTATGTGCCATCTGTGTGGCGTCTATGTGCCATCTGTGTGGCGTCTATGTGCCATCTATGTGCCATCTATGTGCCATCTGTGTGCCATCTGTGTGGCGTCTATGTGCCATCTGTGTGGCGTCAATGTGCCATCTGTGTGCCATCTGTGTGGCGTCTATGTGCCATCTGTGTGGCGTCTACGTGCCATCTGTGTGGCGTCTATGTGCCGTCTATGTGCCATCTATGTGCCATCTATGTGGCGTCTATGTGCCATCTATGTGCCATCTATGTGGCGTCTATGTGCCATCTATGTGCCATCTGTGTGGCGTCTATGTGGCGTCTGTGGCATCTATGTGCCATCTGTGTGGCGTCTATGTGGCATCTGTGTGCCATCTATGTGGCGTCTATGTGGCATCTATGTGGCATCTATGTGGCGTCTATGTGCCATCTGTGTGGCGTCTATGTGCCATCTGTGGCGTCTATGTGCCATCTATGTGCCATCTATGTGCCATCTGTGTGGCGTCTATGTGCCATCTGTGTGGCGTCTATGTGCCATCTGTGTGCCATCTGTGTGGCGTCTATGTGCCATCTGTGTGCCATCTGCTGTGGCGTCTATGTGCCATCTGTGTGCCATCTGTGTGGCGTCTATGTGCCATCTGTGTGCCATCTGTGTGGCCATCATTGTTGTTGCGTCTATGTGGTCATCATGTGGCAGTCTTAATTGTGCTTCTATGTGGCTTCTATGTGCTCATCCTGTGTGGCGTCCTATGTGGCATATTCGTATGTGGGGCGTCTTTATGTGGCTATCAGTATTGGCGACCTAGTTGTGGCAATCTACTGGGCGATTCTATGGGCGTCTTTGCCATCTAATGTGGCAGTAACATACTACATCATAGAAGAACGGTCCCAAAAAAAATATTTCCCTGGAATCTAAAGGCAAGTGTAAGTTATTTGTCCAGCTCTAGAAAGGGGACTTATGTTTCCTTTCAAAGGCAAGCGGTGAAGATTACATGTCAATCAATAACCAAACTAACAACAATTTTTAAATAGAAAAAATATTCAACAGAGTGTCCCCTAGTGTGTGCAGCTGTGGATGACTGATTCTTACTAATCTTACGGTTGAACATGAGTAACTAACAAACAGAACGTAGTAGATGGGAGGAAAGATAGTGAAGGAGAATGACTTTAGGCTGCTGATTCCGAATGTAACACTGTGGAGCACTTCCTGTTTTCCTATATGTAATTTATTTACAATTTTTTTCTTTGTTTTTGTTTTTTTATTGATTTGACTGTATTCAATTCTCAACCGTCCTGCCATTTGAGAGTAACGTATTAAAAATCCCTTTCAGAGTCTGGAGAAAATAACTTCCACTTGCTTTGATTCCTGGAAATAATTTTTTTTGGGACGATCTTTCGCTATTGACGTAGTAAGTTTTACGTTTTACGCCACATGTAGAAGGCACAGACATTCACACATTATGTAAATGCAACTTTTTTACGTTAGTAAAATGTCCAATAAACACATTTTACAGATATTAAACCGCTACATTAAACATATATTTGTCCTAAACCTATATGATTTATAAATAAAGTTTTTTTACCCATATAACAATAGAATATTAGACCTAATTTATATTAATATTTACATATAAAAATCATTATAATGAACTTACTTTTACCTACATTATTATATTTTTATTAGTCTTATAATATACTTCTTTAGATGGGCAAATTCATTTAGACTTTTCGCGCCCTATTTACATGTTAATTAGAACACCATCTGTACCTAACTTATTATATACTATATTGTTCCATAGAATATTACAATTTAAGTATAGTTCCTTATACTTATATAGACGCCCATATATACATTAACTCGATGAAAGCAATAATACTTCTCTTTAGATAGTTCCAACAAAGATTTCTTATGCCACAAATAATTAAGTAAAATCTTACACAAATGGCAACATAAGATATTGATTTATCCACTAACATAAATTATTTGACCATAGATCTAATTTAAAATTTTAACTATATTAAATCTGAATACTCATCTGACATAACCATTTATTGTTATGTCCAACAATATATTAGAATATAAAAAGAATGTATAAACCTATAATAAATTATTCACATAGATCAGATCCAACAATAAACTAAATATGAATAAGGTCAACATTAGATCAGCATCAAAGTTTGTATCACATAATAGAATGCAACAATAATTCATTATGTTTCACTTTGCTCTTTCTTTTTTTAATTAATTACAATGATGGATTACAGATATGTTGCACTATTAAATTTTAAAGTATACTTGCTCATTAAATTACAATTTTTTTTATTCTATATTAATTGGCTAATTCATATGAACTAGTGTAAGCACATAGATCAGCCACACATTTTTCGATAGTGCATAACATTAGGGAATGACACTTAGACGCACATATTAATTTTAATACACTATTTAAAGTAAATAGGGTACTAAACCTTATATATAAAATTACGGACAACTCCAAATATACGCCCTCCAACCACTAACACAACAGAAACCCCACACCCCACAACCCCATAATAAGGACAAAAAACCCAAAAAAACCCGATGGCACATCACTCATACACACATGCCCCACAAAACCCCCCACAAACCAAATGACAACGCACCTACCCCTGTGAGATACTGGCCAACTCTAGGTAGGTTTTTATATATTTGACGCCAGTACACAGATGCCAAATTTCAAGGCACATAGACGCCACATCAGATGGCACATAGACGCCTACACATATGGCAACTATATGATGCACATAGATGCACATCGAACCGCGCACAGATTGCTACATATACGCCACAACAGATTGCACATGAGACTTCCACATAGATAGGGCCCACATAGATGCCCGGGTGTGGGAGGGACCTATACCGGCCACATGAGTATGTCAACATTTGTCCTAGAATGCCTATCATAGACCCACAAAGATGGCACATAGATTGCCACAGACAGCCACAATTAGACTCCACATGTGGTATATCAGATGCACATATATGGCTACAGTAGAACGCCACATATATTGCACATAGAATGGGCAACTAGCCAGCCACATAGATCGGCACATTAATGCACAATATACTGCACATTAGAACGCCACTAACCGATGGCAACGTAGACAACCACACCAGAATGCACACAATAGACGCTCTCAACACTAAGATGTCACATTAACTGTGACAGATTGGCACAGTAGACGGCCACAACCAGATGGCACATAGACTGCCACATTCATATGTCAAGATGGCACACATATGCACATTAGTATTGCCCATAGAATGCACGAGTAGCCTCCACACAGATTTCATTCACATCTCCGTGGCCCCCAGCCTAGATGGCCAATAGATTGTCACATAGGATCCCACACAGATTGGCACAGCATATGGCCACTGAGATGGCAACAAATACCTCCACTACCGATGGGAACATAGACGCCACAAATTGATACAGATGAGCACACAAAGATGGCACATATAACGCCACATAACTCGTAGAATGGCACATAGACGCCTATGATGGCAACACTAGATGTCACATAGCACGCCACATTATTGTTTAATTCAGACCAGATGTCACCAAGATGAGGCACACAGACCCCACAAATCCTGATGGCACAGTAGACGCCTACAGTGTCAAGACGCCACACCGATGGCACATTAGTTATGACGATGGCCAAGAACAGAATGGCACATAAGATGGGCAAATAGTTACACGCCGCCACTGAAACAGAATGGCACTAGAGCAAGTTAGGTTATTTGTTTTGTGGAATGGCACACGAATAGATTGCCCACTTATTACGACCAGGATGAGACCAGGACGAGACCACGAAGAGACCAGGAGGAGACCACGAGGAGACCAGGACGAGACCAGGACGAGACCACGAAGAGACCATGAAGAGACCAGGACGAGACCACGAGGAGACCAGGATGAGACCACAAAGAGACCAGGAGGAGACCAGGAGGAGACCAGGACGAGACCAGGACGAGACCAGGACGAGACCAGGACAAGACCAGGAGGAGACCAGGACGAGACCAGGACAAGACCAGGATGAGACCAGGACAAGACCAGGATGAGACCACGAGACCAAGAGGAGAAAGAAGCCGTCGTGGACCAGGACCAGGCTCAGTCTGGAGTTTGTAAATTTAGTGTTTTCAGCTGCAGTAAAACTACAGTGGTTTAGTCTAAATAAAGCTTTAATCTGCTGCTTTTAAACAACAGGAGGTGTTGGGGTCGAGGCCCGTGGCCTAGATTCAGGACAGAGTCTGTGATGTCACATACAGACCCAGACAGAGTCTGTGATGTCACATACAGACCCAGACAGAGTCTGTGATGTCACATACAGACCCAGACAGAGTCTGTGATGTCACATACAGACCCAGACAGAGTCTGTGATGTCACATACAGACCCAGACAGAGTCTGTGATGTCACATACAGACCCAGACAGAGTCTGTGATGTCACATACAGACCCAGACAGAGTCTGTGATGTCACATACAGACCCAGACAGAGTCTGTGATGTCACATACAGACCCAGACAGAGGTCGAGGTGAGAACATGATTATTTTCTATTAACACAGGTTGACTCACGATCTGACATGACGAAGGGGGGCTGAACAGCCATGGTTAGAGATGGAGCCTACAGCTCTAAGATGGAGCCTATAGCTCTAAGATGGAGTCTATAGCTCTAAGGTGGAGTCTATAGCTCTGAGATGGAGCCTATAGCTCTGAGATGGAGCCTATAGCTCTAAGATGGAGTCTATAGCTCTAAGGTGGAGTCTATAGCTCTGAGATGGAGCCTATAGCTCTAAGATGGAGTCTATAGCTCTAAGATGGAGTCTATAGCTCTAAGATGGAGTCTATAGCTCTAAGATGGAGTCTATAGCTCTAAGATGGAGTCTATAGCTCTAAGGTGGAGTCTATAGCTCTAAGGTGGAGTCTATAGCTCTAAGATGGAGCCTACAGCTCTAAGATGGAGTCTATAGCTCTAAGGTGGAGTCTATAGCTCTAAGGTGGAGCCTACAGCTCTGAGATGGAGCCTACAGCTCTGAGATGGAGCCTACAGCTCTGAGATGGAGCCTGGTAGAGTCTGGTAGAGTCTGGTAGAGTCTGGTAGAGTCTGGTAGAGTCTGGTAGAGTTCGGTCTAGTCTGAAACACTACGACATGTTTATATCAAACGTGAAAGCAGAGAATAAAATACTCAAGTTACTTCTGTACTCTTTAATGACTGCGTTACTCGTGACAGACCCATACCCAGACCTAGACTCGGACCCGGACTCGGACTCGGACCCGGACTCGGACCTGGACCCAGACCCGGACTCGGACCTGGACCCAGACCCGGACTCGGACCTGGACCCAGACCCAGACTCGGACCCGGACTCCGACTCGGACCTGGACCCAGACCCGGACTCCGACTCGGACCTGGACCCAGACCCGGACCTGGACCCAGACCTGGACCCAGACCCGGACCTGGACCCAGACCCAGACACGGACCCGCTGCAGCTCAAACGTGTGAACTTCCTTTTGCTCAGAGACTTTGTGACAAACACGAAGAAGATCTAAAGAAACTACACAGAGCTGAGACTCACGTGCGTCTGATACAAGCTCTGCTCAGAGTCCTCCGTGTGCTCCGGGTCCTCCGTGTGCTCCGGGTCCTCTGTGTGCTCCGAGCCTGGAGCTGGTGCCTCTGCCTCCTGTGTCTGTGATGATCCAGAGGCTACAGCTCTGTCCCCGCCCTCCTCTCTCTCTCTCTCCTCTCTCTCTCTCTCCTCTCTCTCTCTCTCTCCTCTCTCTCTCTCCCTCCTCTCTCTCTCCCTCCTCTCTCTCTCTCTCTCTCTCCCTCCTCTCTCTCTCTCCTCTCTCTCTCTCTCTCTCTCTCTCTCTCCCTCCTCTCTCTCTCCCTCCTCTCTCTCTCCCTCCTCTCTCTCTTCCTCCTCTCTCTCTCCCTCCTCTCTCTCTCTCTCTCTCCCTCCTCTCTCTCTCTCTCTCTCTCTCCCTCCTCTCTCTCTTTTTGTAACTTTTCCCTTTTTACAAGTCTACTGGTAGAGTTATTAAAACAATGTATTTTTATGTGTATGTATATATTATATATACATACACACATTATATATACATACACACATTATATATTTTATATATATATATATATATATATATATAGAGAGAGAGAGAGCGCAATAGCAGCTGGATAGCTCAGTTGGTAGGGCGCAGGACTGGGACCTGGGAGGCCAGGGTTCGAATCCCACCGGGAGCAATTAACACCAACATCCAGTGTGGGTCCTTGGGCAAGACCCTTAATCCTACTCCCTAACTCAGATGAGATGCCGGCTCAGACGTCGCCTGGCCAAACAAGGTCTGCGTCAGGTGCTGGGGAACCAGAGCACCTTGATGAAAAGTGGGCGAGATGCGATAACAGGGCTCTGTTGGAATCAAGGCCCAATTAACAGCTACGCCCTGCCAGTGATCAGACCTGCAGGAATAATCAGGGGCCAAAGGAAGAGATTCAGACCACGGATGTTAAAACTCAAAGCTCCTTACATGCATGGCGGGTTCCATCCCAAATCCAGCACCCTGAGACTGTACGTAAGCCGTAAAGAAGGAGGCCGAGGACTAGTGAGTGTGAGAGCCACTGTCCAGGACCAAACATCCAAACTCCATAACTACATCATGGAGAAGGCCAAAACGGATGACGTACTCAGTGAATGTCTCAGGCAGTGGCGAGATGAGGAGGTGCTGGAGGAGAGCCCTTCATGGGAGAACAAGCCCCTACACGGCATGTACCACCGGAGCATAACAGAAGTGGCTGATCTCAAGAAGTCCTACCAATGGCTAGAAAGGGCTGGCCTACAGGACAAGTGTGGGGGACTCACTGTTGTTGTGCCTACAGGCCTAACAGCAGTGCAGAGTACTCGGCCTTCTTGGAGTCCTTGGGAGGGGTACTGGACAGTGCACTCCGTTATTCTCCTGGGGGACTTCAACGCCGATGTGGGGGACGCCAGTGACACTTGGAGAGGGGTGAAGGGGAAGAACGGCCCTGATCTGACCCCGAGCGGTGTTCAGTTGTTGGACTTCTGTGCCAGTCACAGTTTGTTCCACCCAGGACTGGGAGGAAGTTGGAGAGTCCATGGAGCATGACTATCGGTCGGCCTCGAAGAGATTCTGGCAAACCATCCGGCGCCTCAGGAGGGGGAAGCAGTGCTTTGCCAACACCGTGTACGGTGCGGGTGGAGAGCTGCTGACTTCAACTGGGGATATTGTCGGGCGGTGGTTCTCCTCAATTCCCCGTCACGTCCTCCGTCCCGGAGGCAGAGGATGTTGGGGCGGATACCATCTCCCTGGCACCGTAAGACCTACTTCACGACTCCCACTGATGACTGCTGTTGTTGTGTCCTTGGGCGAGACACTTAACAGTCCCCCCCCCCCCTTCTACATGTCTGCCTCTCTCTCTTTTCAGTCTATGGTGGTCTTCCCCTCCACCTCCCCCACCCACACTCCCCTCTGACGCGCTATATTGGACGAGGCGGGCCAGAGTGATGACTTCCCATTAAAAAGATCTGCATGTTTTCCACATGTACCGTGTCTCTCCCGTGTTTGTTGAAATATGTCTGTTTTGCTCTCCGCTGTTGAATAACTGTCATAAGGAGCGCGGAAAATTAGAGTACGCAGCCGGCCTTGATGTTTATTCATCGAACTGAATTTCTCCATCTGTGTGAGATAATAAAGGATTGATTGATTGATTGATTGAACCCCACTTTGCCTGAAGCCCCCACTGAAAGATCTCAGCTCCTGCAGGAGGATCAGTGAGGGGCTGGTGCTCTGACTGCCCCCCCCCCCGACCCAGAAATAGATTAAGGGGAAGAAAATGGATGGATGGATGAATAACAAACATGAAGAGAAGCCTCCACACCATGAGCTGCACTGATCTGAATACAGAAACTTGAAAAATGTAATTTCTTTTGTAAAAGTCATGTTTTGATCAGAGACGAAGATTACACTGTGAACAAATGGAAACAAAGTGTATTTGGACTTTTACTGAGAACAGAGGATTTTATTACAGAAATAAACAACAGGTTCTGCAGCTGAACATAACACTAAGGCTAAAGGATGTCATGCTAATGTTTTTAGCTCTGTCCGTTAGCCGCCGCCTGCAGGGTCCTCCGCGCCATCTCCAGAGCGCCGTCCTGGGTCTTGTTTCCGCCGATGAAGCCGCTGGCGTGGACGAAGATACAGCCTTTGATCCCACTGAGATCTGAGAGGGCGTCGTCTCGGACCCCACGCCACTCCTCCAGCAGAGACAGCCTGCACACGCACACGCACACGCACACACACACACACACACACACTTTTCAAAACTCAGACTTCTACATTTACAGGTGTGTGTCCGAGTCGTCTGTGGTCTTGATGTCACTGAGAGGACGCAGACCCTGATCCCCTTTAAATGAATTAACCAATCAATGGTTCTGGGCTCAGAGCAAAACAACTGCAGCAAAGGTCAAGAGGCTCATGATGGGGAGGGGCTTGTTGTTATGACGATGCTCCGAACAACAACCTGCTCTAAAAATAACACAATTAGCAAATGATTGTCCCTTGGGAGCAGCGCCGAGACGCCTTCAGGAGACGCAGCTCGTTACGGCTTCATTAGGACCGAGGACACGGCAGCTTTTCAATATTAGACGTGTCCAGGAGAACACTGAAGCATGTGAAGCATGTGAAGCCTTAGATGAGGTATAACAGGCCAGGGTAGACTTCATTAACATCCGCTCATTTAAATAGGACGTGATTAATTATATCAATACTTAGTTATGAGTAATATATCACAGTGCACTGAACACACACATCTCCACCGCTGTCAGACTGTACAATGAGTCACTTAATGACCTGCACTAGGACTGTAAACGCTTTACATGTTTATACAAAGTTAATATTGCACAGACTATATTTTAACTCTGAGTGATTCTGTCTTTGCCAAATGTGACTTATTAAAGTTTATCTTCTCTGAAGTATTATTGCACCAAGCTCAAGGTGTTTGTTTTGGGACAGAAGAGAAACTACATGAAATATTTAATTACTTTATTACAGTGCCTTGCGAAAGTATTCGGCCCCCTTGAACCTTTCAACATTTCGCCACATTTCAGGCTTCAAACATCCATCCATCCATCCATTTTCTTCCCTTTAATCCATTCCTGGGTCAGGGGGGTGGCAGTCAGAGATGCACCAGCCCCTCACTGATCCTCTGCAGGTGGTGAGTCCACAGGAGGACGGCTGCTCTCTGAGTGTGAGCATAGCCTTGATCTTTCAGTGGGGGCTTTGGGCAAAGTGGGGTTAAGTGTCTTGCCCAAGGACACAACGACAGCAGTCATCAGTGGGAGTCGGTGGAGAAGGTGCAGAGGTGGGAATAGAACCCACGACCTTCAGGCCTGAAGGCCAATGCTCTACCAACTGAGCTACTGTCGCCCCTTAAAAAATATTTTTTTTTTTGTCAAGAATCAACAAGTGGGACACAATCGTGAAGTGGAACAACATTTATTGGATAATTTAAACTTTTTTAACAAATAAAAAACTGAAAAGTGGGGCGTGCAATAGTATTCGGCCCCTTGCGCTAATACTTTGTAGCGCCACCTTTTGCTGCAATTACAGCTGCAAGTCGCTTGGGGTATGTCTCTATCAGTTTTGCACATCGAGAGACTGGAATTCTTGCCCATTCTTCCTTGCAAAACAGCTGGAGCTCAGTGAGGTTGGATGGAGAGCGTTTGTGAACAGCAGTCTTCAGCTCTTTCCACAGATTCTGGATTGGATTCAGGTCTGGACTTTGACTTGGCCATTCTAACACCTAGATACGTCTATTTGTGAACCATTCCATTGTAGATTTGGCTTTATGTTTTGGATCATTGTCCTGTTGGAAGATAAATCTCCGTCCCAGTCTCAGGTCTTTTGCAGACTCCAACAGGTTTTCTTCCAGAATGGTCCTGTATTTGGCTCCATCCATCTTCCCATCAATTTTAGCCATCTTCCCTGTCCCTGCTGAAGAAAAGCAGGCCCAAAGCATGATGCTGCCACCACCATGTTTGACAGTGGGGATGGTGTGTTCAGGGTGATGAGCTGTGTTGCTTTTACGCCAAACATTTTGCATTGTGGCCAAAAAGTTTGATTTTGGTTTCATCTGACCAGAGCACCTTCTTCCACATGTTTGGTGTGTCTCCCAGGTGGCTTGTGGCAAACTTTAAACCAGACTTTTTATGGATATCTTTGAGAAATGGCTTTCTTCTTGCCACTCTTCCATAAAGGCCAGATTTGTGCAGTGCACGACTGATTGTTGTCCTATGGACAGACTCTCCCACCTCAGCTGTAGTTATCTGCAGTTCATCCAGAGTGATCATGGGCCTCTTGGCTGCATCTCTGATCAGTCTTCTCCTTGTTTGAGATGAAAGTTTGGAGGGACGGCCGGGTCTTGGTAGATTTGCAGTGGTCTGATACTCCTTCCATTTCAATATAATTGCTTGCACAGTGCTCCTTGAGACGTTTAAAGCTTGGGAAATCTTTTTGTATCCAAATCCGGCTTTAAACTTCTCCACAACAGTATCTCGGACCTGCCTGGTGTGTTCCTTTGTCTTCATGGTTCTCTCTGTGCTTTAAACAGAACCCTGAGACTATCAAAGAGCAGGTGCATTTATACGGAGACTTGATTACACACAGGTGCATTCTATTTATCATCATCAGTCATTTAGGACAACATTGGATCAGTCAAAGATCCTCACTGAACTTCTGGACTGAGTTTGCTGCACTGAAAGTAAAGGGGCCCAATAATATTGCACGCCCCACTTTTCAGTTTTTTATTTGTTAAAAAAGTTTAAATTATCCAACAAATTTCATTCCACTTCACGATTGTGTCCCACTTGTTGTTGATTCATGACAAAAAATTAAAATTTTATATAATAATAATAATACATCAGTTTTATATAGCGCTTTTCAAGAACTCAGACGCTTCACAAATTCATGACACAAACACACACGTTTAGACAGACACACAAACTAAAAATCTAAGAGTGAGGAAGAAGGGTAGAGAGTTTAAACTAAGAGTCAAATGCTCGGAGGAAAAGGTGAGTTTTGAGCTGTTTTTTGAAGGAGTTTAGAGAGTCCGAGTTTCTGAGATGGAGAGAGTTCCAGAGAGTGGGAGCAGAGATGGCGAAAGCTCGGTCCCCAAAGGTTCGGTGCTTGGATTTGACAGTGGGAGTGAGGAGAGTCTGCAGATCGGAGTCGGCGGGAGGGACTGAAGGAGTTCAGTGAGGTCTGGAGGAGGTTATGGAGGGCTCTGTAGGTGATGAGGAGGATTTTGAAATGGACGCTGTTTAACGAGGAGCCAGTGGAGTTTTGGAAGGACAGGGGTGATGTGCTCTCACATATCTTTATGTTTGAAGCCTGAAATGTGGCGAAAGGTTCAAGGGGGCCGAATACTTTTGCAAGGCACTGTAAATGATTGTTGCTCAACTGTGGACAGAAGATTATTCTGAGAATCTCATCCTCGGTCAGAATAAAAAGGTTTTTATCTCAGTTGTGTACAGTGTCAGCTGCCACCTCCTGCTCCTCCAGCACCTCCTGCTCCTCCAGCACCTCCTGCTCCTCCAGCACCTCCTGCTCCTTCTGCACCTCCTGCTCCTTCTGCACCTCCTGCTCCAACTGCACCTCCTGCTCATTCTGCACTTCCTGCTCCTTCTGCACCTCCTGCTCCTCCTGCTCCTTCTGCACCTCCTGCTCCAACTGCACCTCCTACTCCTCCTGCACCTCCTGCTCCTTCTGCACCTCCTGCTCCTTCTGCACCTCCTGCTCCTTCTGCACCTCCTGCTCCTTCTGCACCTCCTGCTCCAACTGCACCTCCTGCTCCAACTGCACCTCCTGCTCCAACTGCACCTCCTGCTCATTCTGCACTTCCTGCTCCAACTGCACCTCCTGCTCCAACTGCACCTCCTGCTCATTCTGCACTTCCTGCTCATTCTGCTCCTCCAACTGCTCCTCCTGCTCATTCTGCTCCTCCAACTGCACCTCCTGCTCATACTGCACCTCCTGCTCATTCTGCACCTCCTGCTCCAACTGCACCTCCTGCTCATTCTGCACCTCCTGCTCCAACTGCACCTCCTGCACCTCCTGCTCATTCTGCACCTCCTGCTCCAACTGCTCCTCCTGCTCCTTCTGCACCTCCTGCTCCTTCTGCACCTCCTGCGCCTTCTGCACCTCCTGCTCCTTCTGCACCTCCTGCTCATTCTGCACCTCCTGCTCATTCTGCACCTCCTGCTCATTCTGCTCCAACTGCACCTCCTGCTCCAACTGCACCTCCTGCTCCAACTGCACCTCCTGCTCCAACTGCACCTCCTGCTCCAACTGCACCTCCTGCTCCAACTGCACCTCCTGCTCATTCTGCACTTCCTGCTCATTCTGCTCCTCCTGCACCTCCAACTTCTCCTCCTGCTCATTCTGTTCCAACTGCACCTCCTGCTCATTCTGCACCTCCTGCTCCAACTGCTCCTCCTGCTCATTCTGCTCCAACTGCACCTCCTGCTCATTCTGCACTTCCTGCTCCTCCTGCTCCTCCTGCCAGACCCTCCTGTGCCTGTTCCATGTCCTCCGTGATGTGAGTGACAAACATCTCTCTCAGGTGATAAGTCCTTTGGCAGAGTCCTGCTGCAGCTTTATCTGTGTCAGAGCTGTCAGGCTGCCTCCGAGGCAGCTGCGGCTGCAGGACTTAACACCAACACAAACAGGAGCACAGGCTCCACCCACTTCCTACAGTCTGTTTTATCCTAGATGGGCACAGTTCTAAAGTCTGTTTTATCCTAGATGGGCACAGTTCTAAAATCTGTTTTATCCCAGATGGGCACAGTTCTAAAATCTGTTTTATCCCAGATGAGCACAGTTATAAAATCTGTTTTATCCCAGATGAGCACAGTTATAAAATCTGTTTTATCCCAGATGGGCACAGTTCCAAAATCTGTTTTATCCCAGATGGGCACAGTTCTAAAGTCCGTTTTATCCCAGATGGGCACAGTTCTAAAGTCCGTTTTATCCCAGATGGGCACAGTTCTAAAGTCCGTTTTAGCCCAGATGGGCACAGTTCTAAAGTCCGTTTTATCCCAGATGGGCACAGTTCTAAAGTCTGTTTTATCCCAGATGGGCACAGTTCTAAAGTCTGTTTTATCCCAGATGGGCACAGTTCTAAAGTCCGTTTTATCCCAGATGGGCACAGTTCTAAAGTCCGTTTTATCCCAGATGGGCACAGTTCTAAAGTCCGTTTTATCCCAGATGGGCACAGTTCTAAAGTCCGTTTTATCCCAGATGGGCACAGTTCTAAAGTCCGTTTTATCCCAGATGGGCACAGTTCTAAAGTCTGTTTTATCCCAGATGGGCACAGTTCTAAAGTCTGTTTTATCCCAGATGAGCACAGTTATAAAATCTGTTTTATCCCAGATGGGCACAGTTCTAAAGTCTGTTTTATCCCAGATGAGCACAGTTATAAAATCTGTTTTATCCCAGATGAGCACAGTTCTCCGATCTAAGATGGCGCCTCGTACGGTCGACATGGCTCTTTGCTGCTCTCTTCTTCTTTTGTTTTTACTTTTTAACTGTGCATCTGGCTGTTCCTACACCCGTGAGGAACTTATGAACATCCGACCCACCGTCCCCATGGACCTATTGCCTGTTTTCTTGGCATCTGCGGGTTAGGGTTAACCGGTGGTTAACCGTCACAGCGTTAACCGTCACAGCGTTAACCGTCACAGCGTTAACCGTCACAGCGTTAACCGTCACAGCGTTAACCGTCACAGCGTTAACCGTCACAGCGTTAACCGTCACAGCGTTAACCGTCACAGCGTTAACCGGTCAAAGCGGGTCTGTCTCTAGCTGTGCGCCACAATGTATCAGTAAACTCTGGGCCAACTACACACACACTTTAGCAGAGACCTGTGAGACGCTGCTCGTCACTCTCTGCTCTGACCATGTGGACGTCACTCTCTGCTCTGACCATGTGGACGTCATTCTCTGCTCTGACCATGTGGACGTCACTCTGCTCTGACCATGTGGACGTCACTCTCTGCTCTGACCATGTGGACGTCATTCTCTGCTCTGACCATGTGGACGTCACTCTGCTCTGACCATGTGGACGTCACTCTCTGCTCTGACCATGTGGACGTCATTCTCTGCTCTGACCATGTGGACGTCACTCTGCTCTGACCATGTGGACGTCACTCTCTGCTCTGACCATGTGGACGTCATTCTCTGCTCTGACCATGTGGACGTCACTCTGCTCTGACCATGTGGACGTCACTCTCTGCTCTGACCATGTGGACGTCATTCTCTGCTCTGACCATGTGGACGTCACTCTGCTCTGACCATGTGGACGTCACTCTCTGCTCTGACCATGTGGACGTCATTCTCTGCTCTGACCATGTGGACGTCACTCTCTGCTCTGACCATGTGGACGTCACTCTCTGCTCTGACCATGTGGACGTCACTCTCTGCTCTGACCATGTGGACGTCACTCTCTGCTCTGACCATGTGGACGTCACTCTCTGCTCTGACCATGTGGACGTCACTCTCTGCTCTGACCATGTGGACGTCACTCTCTGCTCTGACCATGTGGACGTCACTCTCTGCTCTGACCATGTGGACGTCACTCTCTGCTCTGACCATGTGGACGTCACTCTCTGCTCTGACCATGTGGACGTCACTCTCTGCTCTGACCATGTGGACGTCACTCTCTGCTCTGACCATGTGGACGTCACTCTCTGCTCTGACCATGTGGACGTCCCCCTCTGCTCTGACCATGTGGACGTCACTCTGCTCTGACCATGTGGACGTCACTCTCTGCTCTGACCATGTGGACGTCACTCTCTGCTCTGACCATGTGGACGTCACTCTCTGCTCTGACCATGTGGACGTCACTCTCTGCTCTGACCATGTGGACGTCACTCTCTGCTCTGACCATGTGGACGTCACTCTCTGCTCTGACCATGTGGACGTCACTCTCTGCTCTGACCATGTGGACGTCACTCTCTGCTCTGACCATGTGGACGTCACTCTCTGCTCTGACCATGTGGACGTCACTCTGCTCTGACCATGTGGACGTCACTCTCTGCTCTGACCATGTGGACGTCACTCGCTGCTCTGACCATGTGGACGTCACTCTCTGCTCTGACCATGTGGACGTCACTCTCTGCTCTGACCATGTGGACGTCACTCTCTGCTCTGACCATGTGGACGTCACTCTCTGCTCTGACCATGTGGACGTCACTCTCTGCTCTGACCATGTGGACGTCACTCTCTGCTCTGACCATGTGGACGTCACTCTCTGCTCTGACCATGTGGACGTCACTCTCTGCTCTGACCATGTGGACGTCACTCTCTGCTCTGACCATGTGGACGTCACTCTCTGCTCTGACCATGTGGACGTCACTCTCTGCTCTGACCATGTGGACGTCACTCTCTGCTCTGACCATGTGGACGTCACTCTCTGCTCTGACCATGTGGACGTCACTCTCTGCTCTGACCATGTGGACGTCACTCTCTGCTCTGACCATGTGGACGTCCCCCTCTGCTCTGACCATGTGGACGTCCCCCTCTGCTCTGACCATGTGGACGTCCCCCTCTGCTCTGACCATGTGGACGTCACTCTGCTCTGACCATGTGGACGTCACTCTCTGCTCTGACCATGTGGACGTCACTCTCTGCTCTGACCATGTGGACGTCACTCTCTGCTCTGACCATGTGGACGTCACTCTCTGCTCTGACCATGTGGACGTCACTCTCTGCTCTGACCATGTGGACGTCACTCTCTGCTCTGACCATGTGGACGTCACTCTCTGCTCTGACCATGTGGACGTCACTCTCTGCTCTGACCATGTGGACGTCACTCTCTGCTCTGACCATGTGGACGTCACTCTGCTCTGACCATGTGGACGTCACTCTGCTCTGACCATGTGGACGTCACTCTCTGCTCTGACCATGTGGACGTCACTCGCTGCTCTGACCATGTGGACGTCACTCTCTGCTCTGACCATGTGGACGTCACTCTCTGCTCTGACCATGTGGACGTCACTCTCTGCTCTGACCATGTGGACGTCACTCTGCTCTGACCATGTGGACGTCACTCTCTGCTCTGACCATGTGGACGTCACTCTCTGCTCTGACCATGTGGACGTCACTCTGCTCTGACCATGTGGACGTCACTCTCTGCTCTGACCATGTGGACGTCACTCTCTGCTCTGACCATATGGACGTCACTCTCTGCTCTGACCATATGGACGTCACTCTGCTCTGACCATGTGGACGTCACTCTGCTCTGACCATGTGGACGTCACTCTGCTCTGACCATGTGGACGTCACTCTCTGCTCTGACCATGTGGACGTCACTCTGCTCTGACCATGTGGACGTCACTCTCTGCTCTGACCATGTGGACGTCACTCTCTGCTCTGACCATGTGGACGTCACTCTGCTCTGACCATGTGGACGTCACTCGCAGCACAGCAGAACGGGGAGATTAAAAAGCAGTTCTCTGTGCTCAAAGGAGCTGAAGCTGTTGCTGGTTTTTGGCGCCGCTGTCTCGGTTCTGATCCAGTAGAACGCAGAGCTGCACTTATGAGAAGTACGAAGCTTGAAATGGCTGTTATTTCAAAGAACGTGGACTATTTTAAACTACGCGGTTAAACCGGTTTCAACTGGTTAATGAGGCTCGGTGGTCAGTCATGAAAATTCATAGTTTTTTACATCGCTAGTTTGAAATGACCAAATACTTATTTTCCATCATAATTTACAAATAAATTCTTTAAAAATCCTACAATGAGAATGGATTTTTTTCCACATTCTGTCTCTCACAGTTGAAGTGAACCTATGATGAACATTACAGACCTCTGTCTTTAGTTTAAGTGGGAGAACTTTCACAATCTGTGGCTGACTAAATACTTTTTTGCCCCACTGTATATATAATGTGTGTGTAGGTCTGTGGTCCTGTAGGTCTGTGGTCCTGTAGGTCTGTGGTCCTGTAGGTCTGTGGTCCTGTAGGTCTGTGGTCTGTGGTCCTGTAGGTCTGTGGTCCTGTAGGTCTGTGGTCCGTGCTCCTGTAGGTCTGTGGTCCTGTAGGTCTGTGCTCCTGTAGGTCTGTGCTCCTGTAGGTCTGTGGTCCTGTGGGTCTGTGGTCCTGTAGGTCTGTGGTCCTGTAGGTCTGTGGTCCTGTAGGTCTGTGGTCTGTGCTCCTGTAGGTCTGTGGTCCTGTAGGTCTGTGGTCCTGTAGGTCTGTGGTCCTGTAGGTCCTGTAGGTCCTGTAGGTCTGTGGTCCTGTAGGTCTGTGGTCTGTGGTCCTGTAGGTCTGTGCTCCTGTAGGTCTGTGGTCTGTGGTCCTGTGGGACTGTGGTCCTGTAGGTCTGTGGTCCTGTAGGTCTGTGCTCCTGTAGGTCTGTTGTCTGTGGTCCTGTAGGTCTGTGGTCCTGTAGATCTGTGGTCCTGTGGGACTGTGGTCCTGTAGGTCTGTGGTCCTGTAGGTCTGTGGTCCTGTAGGTCTGTGGTCCTGTAGGTCTGTGGTCCTGTGGGACTGTGGTCCTGTAGGTCTGTGGTCCTTTAGGTCTGTGGTCCTGTGGGTCTGTGGTCCTGTAGGTCTGTGGTCCAGTAGGTCTGTGGTCCTGTAGGTCTGTGGTTCTGTAGGTCTGTGGTCTGTGGTCCTGTAGGTCTGTGGTCCTGTAGGTCTGTGGTCCTGTAGGTCTGTGGTCTGTGGTCCTGTAGGTCGGTGGTCCTGTAGGTCTGTGGTCCTGTGGGTCTGTGGTCCTGTAGGTCTATGGTCTGTGGTCCTGTAGGTCGGTGGTCCTGTAGGTCTGTGGTCCTGTAGGTCTGTGGTCTGTGGTCCTGTAGGTCTGTGCTCCTGTAGGTCTGTGGTCTGTGGTCCTGTAGGTCTGTGGTCCTGTGGGACTGTGGTCCTGTAGGTCTGTGGTCCTGTAGGTCTGTGCTCCTGTAGGTCTGTTGTCTGTGGTCCTGTAGGTCTGTGGTCCTGTGGGACTGTGGTCCTGTAGGTCTGTGGTCCTGTAGGTCTGTGGTCCTGTAGGTCTGTGGTCCTGTAGGTCTGTGGTCCTGTGGGACTGTGGTCCTGTAGGTCTGTGGTCCTTTAGGTCTGTGGTCCTGTGGGTCTGTGGTCCTGTGGGTCTGTGGTCCTGTAGGTCTGTGGTCCAGTAGGTCTGTGGTCCTGTAGGTCTGTGGTCTGTGGTCCTGTAGGTCTGTGGTCCTGTAGGTCTGTGGTCCTGTAGGTCTGTGGTCTGTGGTCCTGTAGGTCGGTGGTCCTGTAGGTCTGTGGTCCTGTGGGTCTGTGGTCCTGTAGGTCTATGGTCTGTGGTCCTGTAGGTCGGTGGTCCTGTAGGTCTGTGGTCCTGTAGGTCTGTGGTCCTGTAGGTCTGTGGTCCTGTAGGTCTGTGGTCCTGTAGGTCTGTGGTCCTGTAGGTCTGTGGTCTGTGGTCCTGTAGGTCGGTGGTCCTGTAGGTCTGTGGTCCTGTAGGTCTGTGGTCCTGTAGGTCGGTGGTCCTGTAGGTCTGTGGTCCTGTAGGTCTGTGGTCCTGTAGATCTGTGGTCCAGTGGGTCTGTGGTCCTGTAGGTCTGTGGTCCTGTAGGTCTGTGGTCTGTGCTCCTGTAGGTCTGTGGTCCTGTAGATCTGTGGTCCAGTGGGTCTGTGGTCCTGTAGGTCTGTGGTCCTGTAGGTCTGTGGTCTGTGCTCCTGTAGGTCTGTGGTCCTGTAGGTCTGTGGTCCTGTAGGTCTGTGGTCCTGTAGGTCTGTGGTCCTGTAGGTCTGTGGTCCTGTGAGTTTGTGGTCCTGTGAGTTTGTGGTCCTGTGAGTTTGTGGTCCTGTGAGTTTGTGGTCCAGTAGGTCTGTGGTCCTGTAGGTCTGTGGTCCTGTAGGTCTGTGGTCCTGTAGGTCTGTGGTCCTGTAGGTCTGTGCTCCTGTAGGTCTGTGGTCCTGTAGGTCTGTGGTCTGTGGTCCTGTAGGTCTGTGGTCCTGTAGGTCTGTGGTCTGTGGTCCTGTAGGTCTGTGGTCTGTGCTCCTGTAGGTCTGTGGTCCTGTAGGTCTATGGTCTGTGGTCCTGTAGGTCTGTGGTCCTGTAGGTCTATGGTCTGTGGTCCTGTAGGTCTGTGGTCCTGTAGGTCTGTGGTCTGTGGTCCAGTAGGTCTGTGGTCCTGTAGGTCTGTGCTCCTGTAGGTCTGTGGTCCAGTGGGTCTGTGCTCCTGTAGGTCTGTGGTCCTGTAGATCTGTGGTCCAGTGGGTCTGTGGTTCTGTAGGTCTGTGCTCCTGTAGGTCTGTGGTCCTGTAGGTCTGTGGTCCTGTAGGTCTGTGGTCCTGTCAGTTTGTGGTCCTGTAGGTCTGTGGTCCTGTAGGTCTGTGGTCCAGTAGGTCTGTGGTCCAGTAGGTCTGTGGTTCTGTAGGTCTGTGCTCCTGTAGGTCTGTGGTCCTGTAGGTCTGTGCTCCTGTAGATCTGTGGTCCAGTGGGTCTGTGGTTCTGTAGGTCTGTGCTCCTGTAGGTCTGTGCTCCTGTAGGTCTGTGGTCCTGTAGGTCTGTGCTCCTGTAGGTCTGTGGTCCAGTAGGTCTGTGGTCCAGTAGGTCTGTGGTCCTGTAGGTCTGTGGTCCTGTGGGTCTGTGGTCCTGTAGGTCTGTGGTCCTGTAGGTCTGTGGTCCTGTAGGTCTGTGGTCCTGTGGGTCTGTGGTCCTGTAGGTCTGTGGTCCTGTAGGTCTGTGGTCCTGTAGGTCTGTGCTCCTGTAGGTCTGTGGTCCAGTGGGTCTGTGGTCCTGTAGGTCTGTGCTCCTGTAGGTCTGTGGTCCAGTGGGTCTGTGGTCCTGTAGGTCTGTGCTCCTGTAGGTCTGTGGTCCTGTAGATCTGTGGTCCAGTGGGTCTGTGGTCCTGTAGGTCTGTGGTCCTGTAGGTCTGTGGTCCTGTAGGTCTGTGGTCCTGTAGGTCTGTGGTCCTGTGAGTTTGTGGTCCTGTGAGTTTGTGGTCCTGTGAGTTTGTGGTCCTGTAGGTCTGTGCTCCTGTAGGTCTGTGGTCCTGTAGGTCTGTGGTCCAGTAGGTCTGTGCTCCTGTAGGTCTGTGGTCCTGTAGGTCTGTGCTCCTGTAGGTCTGTGCTCCTGTAGGTCTGTGCTCCTGTAGGTCTGTGGTCCAGTAGGTCTGTGGTCCTGTAGGTCTGTGGTCCAGTAGGTCTGTGGTCCTGTAGGTCTGTGCTCCTGTAGGTCTGTGCTCCTGTAGGTCTGTGGTCCAGTAGGTCTGTGGTCCTGTAGGTCTGTGGTCCTGTGGGTCTGTGGTCCTGTAGGTCTGTGGTCCTGTAGGTCTGTGCTCCTGTAGGTCTGTGGTCCAGTAGGTCTGTGGTCCTGTAGGTCTGTGGTCCAGTAGGTCTGTGGTCCTGTAGGTCTGTGCTCCTGTAGGTCTGTGCTCCTGTAGGTCTGTGGTCCAGTAGGTCTGTGGTCCTGTAGGTCTGTGGTCCTGTGGGTCTGTGGTCCTGTAGGTCTGTGGTCCTGTAGGTCTGTGCTCCTGTAGGTCTGTGGTCCTGTAGGTCTGTGGTCCTGTAGGTCTGTGGTCCAGTAGGTCTGTGGTCACCTGTTCTGGAAGGTGTTGAGCCCGGCCGGGACACACTGGACCCTCCAGTGCTGGTTCTGATCCGGGAACAAAACAAACTTGATGGAAGTCGTCACTTTCAGTTCTTTCTCCAACTCAAACAAATGCTCTTTCCACGGACAGCCGCCCTGAGGGAACACCACCACCTCCCCACTGGGGTCCACCTGGGAGAGGGTAGGGAGAGGGTCAGGAGAGGGTCAGGAGGTCACAACGAGGTCAGGAGAGAGTAGGGAGAGGGTCAGGAGGAGGTCACGACGAGGTCAGGAGAGAGTAGGGAGAGGGTCAGGAGGAGATCACGACGAGGTCAGGAGAGAGTAGGGAGAGGATCAGGAGAGGGTCAGGAGGAGGTCAGGAGAGGGTAGGGAGAGGGTCAGGAGGAGGTCAAGAGAGTAGGGAGAGGGTCAGGAGAGGGTCAGGAGGAGGTCAGGAGAGGGTAGGGAGAGGGTCAGGAGGATATCAGGAGAAGGTCAAGAGAGGGTCAGGAGGAGGCCAGGAGAGGGTAGGGAGAGGGTCAAGAGAGGGTCAGGAGGGAGGTCAAGAGAGAGTAGGGAGAGGGTCAGGAGAGGGTCAGGAGGAGGTCAGGAGAGGGTAGGGAGAGGGTCAGTAGGAGTTCAAGAGAGAGTAGGGAGAGGGTCAGGAGGAGGTCACGACGAGGTCAGGAGAGAGTAGGGAGAGGGTCAGGAGAGGGTCAGGAGGAGGTCAGGAGAGGGTAGGGAGAGGGTCAGGAGGAGGTCAGGAGAGGGTAGGGAGAGGGTCAGGAGAGGGTCAGGAGGAGGTCAGGAGAGGGTAGGGAGAGGGTCAGGAGGATATCAGGAGAAGGTCAAGAGAGGGTCAGGAGGAGGCCAGGAGAGGGTAGGGAGAGGGTCAAGAGAGGGTCAGGAGGAGGTCAAGAGAGCGTAGGGAGAGGGTCAGGAGAGGGTCAGGAGGAGGTCAGGAGAGGGTAGGGAGAGGGTCAGTAGGAGTTCAAGAGAGAGTAGGGAGAGGATCAGGAGGAGGTCACGACGAGGTCAGGAGAGAGTAGGGAGAGGGTCAGGAGAGGGTCAGGAGGAGGTCAGGAGAGGGTAGGGAGAGGGTCAGGAGGAGGTCAGGAGAGGGTAGGGAGAGGGTCAGGAGGAGGTCAGGAGAGGGTAGGGAGAGGGTCAGGAGAGGGTCAGGAGAGGGTAGGGAGAGGGTCAGGAGGAGGCCAGGAGAGGATCAGGAGGGGTCAGGAAAGGGTCAGGAGGAGGTCAGGAGAGGGTCAGCAGAGGGTAGGGAAAGGGTCAGGAGAGCTCCTGACTCTTTAGCTCCTGTAGCTCCCGGCTCTTTAGCTCCTGACCCTTTAGCTCCTGGCCCTTTAGCTCCTGGCCCTTTAGCTCCCGATCCTTTAGCTCCCGGCCCTTTAGCTCCTGGCCCTTTAGCTCCCGGCCCTTTAGCTCCCGGCTCTTTAGCTCCTGGCTCTTTAGCTCCTGACCCTTTAGCTCCTGACCCTTTAGCTCCTGTAGCCCCCGGCCCTTTAGCTCCTGGCCCTTTAGCTCCCGGCTCTTTAGCTCCTGGCCCTTTAGCTCCTGGCCCTTTAGCTCCTGGCCCTTTAGCTCCTGGCCCTTTAGCTCCTGGCCCTTTAGCTCCTGACCCTTTAGCTCCTGACCCTTTAGCTCCTGACTCTTTAGCTCCTGTAGCCCCCGGCTCTTTAGCTCCTGGCCCTTTAGCTCCCGGCTCTTTAGCTCCTGGCCCTTTAGCTCCTGGCTCTTTAGCTCCTGGCCCTTTAGCTCCTGGCCCTTTAGCTCCTGGCCCTTTAGCTCCTGGCCCTTTAGCTCCTGTAGCTCCTGATCCTTTAGCTCCTGGCCCTTTAGCTCCTGGTCCTTTAGCTCCCGGCCCTTTAGCTCCCGACCCTTTAGCTCCCGATCCTTTAGCTCCTGGCCCTTTAGCTCCTGGCCCTTTAGCTCCTGGCCCTTTAGCTCCTGGCCCTTTAGCTCCTGGCCCTTTAGCTCCCGGCCCTTTAGCTCCCGGCTCTTTAGCTCCTGGCCCTTTAGCTCCTGACCCTTTAGCTCCTGACCCTTTAGCTCCTGACCCTTTAGCTCCTGTAGCCCCCGGCCCTTTAGCTCCTGGCCCTTTAGCTCCCGGCCCTTTAGCTCCTGGCCCTTTAGCTCCTGTTCCTTTAGCTCCTGGCCCTTTAGCTCCTGGCCCTTTAGCTCCTGGCCCTTTAGCTCCTGGCCCTTTAGCTCCTGTAGCTCCCGATCCTTTAGCTCCTGGCCCTTTAGCTCCCGGCCCTTTAGCTCCCGACCCTTTAGCTCCCGGCCCTTTAGCTCCTGACCCTTTAGCTCCTGTAACTCCCGGCCCTTTAGCTCCTGGCCCTTAAGCTCCCGGCCCTTAAGCTCCTGGCCCTTTAGCTCCTGGCCCTTTAGCTCCTGGACCTTTAGCTCCTGTAGCTCCCGATCCTTTAGCTCCCGGCCCTTTAGCTCCCGGCCCTTTAGCTCCCGGCACTTTAGCTCCCGGCCCTTTAGCTCCTGTAGCTCCCGATTCTTTAGCTCCTGGCCCTTTAGCTTCTGTAGCTCCTGACCCTTTAGCTCCTGGCCCTTTAGCTCCCGACTCTTTAGCTCCTGGCCCTTTAGCTCCTGACCCTTTAGCTCCTGACCCTTTAGCTCCTGACCCTTTAGCTCCTGGCTCTTTAGCTCCTGGCCCTTTAGCTCCTGACCCTTTAGCTCCTGGCCCTTTAGCTCCCGACCCTTTAGCTCCCGGCCCTTTAGCTCCCGGCCCTTTAGCTCCCGGCCCTTTAGCTCCCGGCCCTTTAGCTCCTGACCCTTTAGCTCCTGGCCCTTTAGCTCCCGGCTCTTTAGCTCCCGGCCCTTTAGCTTTTAGCTCCCGGCCCTTTAGCTCCCGGCCCTTTAGCTTTTAGCTCCTGGACCTTTATCTCCTGGCCCTTTAGCTCCTGTAGCTCCCGACCCTTTAGCTCCCGGCCTTTAGCTCCCGACTCTTTAGCTCCCGACCCTTTAGCTCCTGACCCTTTAGCTCCCGGCCCTTAAGCTCCTGACCCTTTAGCTCCTGATCCTTTAGCTCCCGATTCTTTAGCTCCCGACCCTTTAGCTCCTGACCCTTTAGCTCCCGACCCTTTAGCTCCTGGCCCTTTAGCTCCTGATCCTTTAGCTCCCGATTCTTTAGCTCCCGACCCTTTAGCTCCTGTAGCTCCCGACCCTTTAGCTCCCGGCCTTTAGCTCCCGACTCTTTAGCTCCCGACCCTTTAGCTCCCGACCCTTTAGCTCCTGTAGCTCCCGATCCTTTAGCTCCCGACCCTTTAGCTCCCGGCCCTTTAGCTCCCGACCCTTTAGCTCCCGACCCTTTAGCTCCCGGCCCTTTAGCTCCCGGCCCTTTAGCTCCCGGCCCTTTAGCTCCTGTAGCTCCCGATCCTTTAGCTCCCGACCCTTTAGCTCCCGACCCTTTAGCTCCCGACCCTTTAGCTCCCGACCCTTTAGCTCCCGGCCCTTTAGCTCCCGGCCCTTTAGCTCCTGACCCTTTAGCTCCTGTAGCTCCCGGCCCTTTAGCTTCTGTAGCTCCCAGCCCTTTAGCTCCTGTAGCTCCTGACCCTTTAGCTCCTGTAGCTCCCGGCCCTTTAGCTCCTGTAGCTCCCAGCCCTTTAGCTCCTGTAGCTCCCGGCCCTTTAGCTCCTGTAGCTCCCGGCCCTTTAGCTCCTGTAGCTCCCGGCCCTTTAGCTCCTTAAGCTCCCGACCCTTTAGCTCCCGACCCTTTAGCTCCCAGCCCTTTAGCTCCTGTAGCTCCCGGCCCTTAAGCTCCTGGCCCTTTAGCTCCCGGCTCTTTAGCTCCTGACCCTTTAGCTCCTTAAGCTCCCGGCCCTTTAGCTCCCGACCCTTTAGCTCCTGGCCCTTAGCTCCTGTAGCTCCCGACCCTTTAGCTCCCGGCCCTTAAGCTCCTGGCCCTTTAGCTCCTGACCCTTTAGCTCCTGTAGCTCCCGATCCTTTAGCTCCCGGCCCTTAAGCTCCCGACCCTTTAGCTCCTGGCCCTTTAGCTCCTGGCCCTATGGCTCCTGGCCCTATGGCTCCTGGCCCTATGGCTCCTGGCCCTATGGCTCCTGGCCCTATGGCTCCTGGCCCTATGGCTCCTGGCCCTTTAGCTCCTGGCCCTTTAGCTCCTGGCCCTTTAGCTCCTGGCCCTTTAGCTCCTGGCCCTTTAGCTCCTGACCCTTTAGCTCCTGGCCCTTTAGCTCCTGGCCCTTTAGCTCCTGACCCTTTAGCTCCTGGCCCTTTAGCTCCTGGCCCTTTAGCTCCTCGGTCTTTAGCTCCTGGCCCTTTAGCTCCCGGCCCTTTAGCTCCCGACCCTTTAGCTTCCGGCCCTTTAGTCCCGGCCTTTAGCTCCTGGCTCTTTAGCTCCTGACCCTTTAGCTCCTGACCCTTTAGCTCCTGACCCTTTAGCTCCTGACCCTTTAGCTCCTGACCCTTTAGCTCCTGTAGCTCCCGGCCCTTTAGCTCCTGGCCCTTTAGCTCCCGGCCCTTTAGCTCCCGGCCCTTTAGCTCCTGGCCCTTTAGCTCCTGGCGGTTTAGCTCCTGGCCCTTTAGCTCCTGGCCCTTTAGCTCCTGGCCCTTTAGCTCCTGGCCCTTTAGCTCCTGGCCCTTTAGCTCCTGGCCCTTTAGCTCCTGGCCCTTTAGCTCCCGGCCCTTTAGATCCCGGCCCTTTAGCTCCCGGCCCTTTAGCTCCCGACCCTTTAGCTCCTGACCCTTTAGCTCCTGACCCTTTAGCTCCTGTAGCTCCTGGCCCTTTAGCTCCTGGCCCTTTAGCTCCCGGCCCTTTAGCTCCTGGCCCTTTAGCTCCTGGCCCTTTAGCTCCTGTAGCTCCTGGCCCTTTAGCTCCTGACCCTTTAGCTCCTGGCCCTTTAGCTCCTGTAGCTCCCGATCCTTTAGCTCCTGGTCCTTTAGCTCCCGGCCCTTTAGCTCCCGACCCTTTAGCTCCCGACCCTTTAGCTCCCGGCCCTTTAGCTCCTGACCCTTTATCTCCTGACCCTTTAGCTCCTGTAACTCCCGGCCCTTTAGCTCCTGGCCCTTAAGCTCCCGGCCCTTAAGCTCCTGGCCCTTTAGCTCCTGGCTCTTTAGCTCCTGGCCCTTTAGCTCCTGTAGCTCCCGATCCTTTAGCTCCCGGCCCTTTAGCTCCCGGCCCTTTAGCTCCCGGCCCTTTAGCTCCTGGCCCTTTAGCTCCTGTAGCTCCCGATCCTTTAGCTCCTGGCCCTTTAGCTCCTGTAGCTCCTGACCCTTTAGCTCCTGGCCCTTTAGCTCCCGACCCTTTAGCTCCTGCCCTTTAGCTCCTGGCCCTTTAGCTCCTGACCCTTTAGCTCCTGGCCCTTTAGCTCCCGGCCCTTTAGCTCCCGGCCCTTTAGCTCCCGGCCCTTTAGCTCCCGGCCCTTTAGCTTTAGCTCCTGGCCCTTTAGCTCCCGGCCCTTTAGCTCCGGCCCTTTAGCTCCTGGCCCTTTAGCTCCTGGCCCTTTAGCTCCTGGCCCTTTAGCTTTAGCTCCTGGCCCTTTAGCTCCTGTAGCTCCGATCCTTTAGCTCCGCTCTTTAGCTCCTGACCCTTTAGCTCCCGATCCTTTAGCTCCTGACCCTTTAGCTCCTGGCGCTTTAGCTCCTGGCCCTTTAGCTCCCGACCCTTTAGCTCCTGACCCTTTAGCTCCCGACCCTTTAGCTCCTGTAGCTCCCGATCCTTTAGCTCCTGACCCTTTAGCTCCTGGCTCTTTAGCTCCTGGCCCTTTAGCTCCTGACCCTTTAGCTCCTGGCCCTTTAGCTCCCGACCCTTTAGCTCCCGGCCCTTTAGCTCCCGACCCTTTAGCTCCCGACCCTTTAGCTCCCGACCCTTTAGCTCCCGGCCCTTTAGCTCTCCGGCCCTTTAGCTCCTGACCCTTTAGCTCCTGTAGCTCCCGGCCCTTTAGCTTCTGTAGCTCCCAGCCCTTTAGCTCCTGTAGCTCCTGACCCTTTAGCTCCTGTAGCTCCCGGCCCTTTAGCTCCTGTAGCTCCCAGCCCTTTAGCTCCTGTAGCTCCCGGCCCTTTAGCTCCTGTAGCTCCCGGCCCTTTAGCTCCTGTAGCTCCCGGCGCTTTAGCTCCTTAAGCTCCCGACCCTTTAGCTCCCAGCCCTTTAGCTCCTGTAGCTCCCGGCCCTTAGCTCCTGGCCCTTTAGCTCCCGGCTCTTTAGCTCCTGACCCTTTAGCTCCTTAAGCTCCCGGCCCTTTAGCTCCCGACCCTTTAGCTCCTGGCCCTTAGCTCCTGCTCCTTTTAGCTCCCGACCCTTTAGCTCCCGACCCTTTAGCTCCCGACTCTTTAGCTCCCGGCCCTTTAGCTCCTGTAGCTCCCGATCCTTTAGCTCCCGACCCTTTAGCTCCCGACCCTTTAGCTCCCGACCCTTTAGCTCCCGACCCTTTAGCTCCCGACCTTTAGCTCCTGTAGCTCCCGACCCTTTAGCTCCCGACCCTTTAGCTCCCGACCCTTTAGCTCCTGTAGCTCCCGATCCTTTAGCTCCTGTAGCTCCCGACCTTTAGCTCCCGACCCTTTAGCTCCCGACTCTTTAGCTCCCGCCCTTTAGCTCCTGTAGCTCCCGACCCTTTAGCTCCCGGCCCTTTAGCTCCCGGCCCTTTAGCTCCCGACCCTTTAGCTCCTGTAGCTCCCGGCCCTTTAGCTCCTGTAGCTCCTGACCCTTTAGCTCCTGTAGCTCCCGGCCCTTTAGCTCCCGACCCTTTAGCTCCTGTAGCTCCCGGCCCTTTAGCTCCTGTAGCTCCCGGCCCTTTAGCTCCTGTAGCTCCCGGCTCTTTAGCTCCTGTAGCTCCCGGCCCTTTAGCTCCTGACCCTTTAGCTCCTTAAGCTCCCGACCCTTTAGCTCCCAGCCCTTTAGCTCCTGTAGCTCCCGGCCCTTAAGCTCCTGGCCCTTTAGCTCCCGGCCCTTTAGCTCCTGACCCTTTAGCTCCTTAAGCTCCCGGCCCTTTAGCTCCCGACCCTTTAGCTCCCGACCCTTTAGCTCCCGACCCTTTAGCTCCTGGCCCTTAGCTCCTCCCGTAGCTCCCGGCCCTTTAGCCCTTTAGCTCCTGTAGCTCCCGGCCCTTAAGCTCCTGGCCCTTTAGCTCCTGACTCTTTAGCTCCTGACCCTTTAGCTCCTGTAGCTCCCGATCCTTTAGCTCCCGGCCCTTAAGCTCCCGACCCCGACCCTTTAGCTCCCGACCCTTTAGCTCCTGACCCTTTAGCTCCCGGCCCTTTAGCTCCCGGCCCTTTAGCTCCTGACCCTTTAGCTCCTGTAGTTCCCAGCCCTTTAGCTCCTGTAGCTCCCAGCCCTTTAGCTCCTGTAGCTCCCAGCCCTTTAGCTCCTGTAGCTCCCGGCCCTTTAGCTCCTGACCCTTTAGCTCCTGGCCCTTTAGCTCCCGACCCTTTAGCTCCTGGCCCTTTAGCTCCCGACCCTTTAGCTCCTGGCCCTTTAGCTCCCGGCCCTTTAGCTCCCGACCCTTTAGCTCCCGACCCTTTAGCTCCCGACCCTTTAGCTCCCGACCCTTTAGCTCCCGGCCCTTTAGCTCCCGGCCCTTTAGCTCCCAGCCCTTTAGCTCCTGTAGCTCCCAGCCCTTTAGCTCCTGTAGCTCCCAGCCCTTTAGCTCCTGTAGCTCCCGGCCCTTTAGCTCCTGACCCTTTAGCTCCTGTAGCTCCCGACCCTTTAGCTCCTGGCCCTTAGCTCCTGTAGCTCCCGACCCTTTAGCTCCCGGCCCTTTAGCTCCCAGCCCTTTAGCTCCTGTAGCTCCCGGCCCTTAAGCTCCTGGCCCTTTAGCTCCCGGCCCTTAAGCTCCTGGCCCTTAAGCTCCTGGCCCTTTAGCTCCTGACCCTTTAGCTCTTGTAGCTCCCGATCCTTTAGCTCCTGGCCCTTTGGCTCCTGGCCCTATGGCTCCTGGCCCTTTAGCTCCTGGCCCTTTATCTCCTGGCCCTTTAGCTCCTGGCCCTTTAGCTCCTGGCCCTTTAGCTCCTGGCCCTTTAGCTCCTGGCCCTTTAGCTCCTGGCCCTTTAGCTCCTGGCCCTATGGCTCCTGGCCCTATGGCTCCTGGCCCTATGGCTCCTGGCCCTATGGCTCCTGGCCCTATGGCTCCTGGCCCTTTAGCTCCTGGCTCTTTAGCTCCTGGCCCTTTAGCTCCTGGCCCTTTAGCTCCTGGCCCTTTAGCTCCTGGCCCTTTAGCTCCTGACTCTTTAGCTCCTGGCCCTTTAGCTCCTGGCTCTTTAGCTCCTGACCCTTTAGCTCCTGGCTCTTTAGCTCCTCGGCCTTTAGCTCCTGGCCCTTTAGCTCCTGGCCCTTTAGCTCCTGGCCCTTTAGCTCCCGACCCTTTAGCTTCCGGCCCTTTAGCTCCCGGCCTTTAGCTCCTGGCTCTTTAGCTCCTGACCCTTTAGCTCCTGACCCTTTAGCTCCTGACCCTTTAGCTCCTGACCCTTTAGCTCCTGACCCTTTAGCTCCTGTAGCTCCTGGCCCTTTAGCTCCCGGCCCTTTAGCTCCCGGCCCTTTAGCTCCCGGCCCTTTAGCTCCTGGCCCTTTAGCTCCTGGCCCTTTAGCTCCTGGCCCTTTAGCTCCTGGCCCTTTAGCTCCTGGCCCTTTAGCTCCTGGCCCTTTAGCTCCCGGCCCTTTAGCTCCCGGCCCTTTAGCTCCTGGCTCTTTAGCTCCCGGCCCTTTAGCTCCCGACCCTTTAGCTCCCGACCCTTTAGCTCCCGACCCTTTAGCTCCTGACCCTTTAGCTCCTGACCCTTTAGCTCCTGACCCTTTAGCTCCTGTAGCTCCTGGCCCTTTAGCTCCTGGCCCTTTAGCTCCCGGCCCTTTAGCTCCTGGCCCTTTAGCTCCTGGCCCTTTAGCTCCTGGCCCTAGCTCCTGGCCCTTTAGCTCCTGACCCTTTAGCTCCTGGCCCTTTAGCTCCTGTAGCTCCCGATCCTTTAGCTCCTGGCCCTTTAGCTCCTGGTCCTTTAGCTCCCGGCCCTTTAGCTCCCGACCCTTTAGCTCCCGACCCTTTAGCTCCCGGCCCTTTAGCTCCTGACCCTTTATCTCCTGACCCTTTAGCTCCTGTAACTCCCGGCCCTTTAGCTCCTGGCCCTTAAGCTCCCGGCCCTTAAGCTCCTGGCCCTTTAGCTCCTGGCCCTTTAGCTCCTGGCCCTTTAGCTCCTGTAGCTCCCGATCCTTTAGCTCCCGGCGCTTTAGCTCCCGGCTCTTTAGCTCCCGGCCCTTTAGCTCCCGGCCCTTTAGCTCCTGGCCCTTTAGCTCCTGTAGCTCCCGATCCTTTAGCTCCTGGCCCTTTAGCTCCTGTAGCTCCTGACCCTTTAGCTCCTGGCCCTTTAGCTCCCGACCCTTTAGCTCCTGGCCCTTTAGCTCCTGGCCCTTTAGCTCCTGACCCTTTAGCTCCTGGCCCTTTAGCTCCCGGCCCTTTAGCTCCCGGCCCTTTAGCTCCCGGCCCTTTAGCTCCCGGCCCTTTAGCTCCCGGCCCTTTAGCTCCCGGCACTTTAGCTCCCGGCCCTTTAGCTTTTAGCTCCTGGCCCTTTAGCTCCCGGCCCTTTAGCTCCCGGCCCTTTAGCTTTTAGCTCCTGGCCCTTTAGCTCCTGTAGCTCCCGATCCTTTAGCTCCCGGCTCTTTAGCTCCTGACCCTTTAGCTCCCGATCCTTTAGCTCCTGACCCTTTAGCTCCTGGCTCTTTAGCTCCTGGCCCTTTAGCTCCCGACCCTTTAGCTCCTGACCCTTTAGCTCCCGACCCTTTAGCTCCTGTAGCTCCCGATCCTTTAGCTCCCGGCTCTTTAGCTCCTGACCCTTTAGCTCCCGATCCTTTAGCTCCTGACCCTTTAGCTCCTGGCCCTTTAGCTCCTGGCCCTTTAGCTCCTGACCCTTTAGCTCCTGGCCCTTTAGCTCCCGACCCTTTAGCTCCCGGCCCTTTAGCTCCCGACTCTTTAGCTCCCGACCCTTTAGCTCCTGACCCTTTAGCTCCCGGCCCTTTAGCTCCTGTAGCTCCCGACCCTTTAGCTCCCGGCCCTTTAGCTCCCGGCCCTTTAGCTCCCAGCCCTTTAGCTCCTGTAGCTCCCAGCCCTTTAGCTCCTGTAGCTCCCAGCCCTTTAGCTCCTGTAGCTCCTGGCCCTTTAGCTCCCGACCCTTTAGCTCCCGACCCTTTAGCTCCCGACCCTTTAGCTCCCGGCCCTGTAGCTCCCGACCCTTTAGCTCCCGGCCCTTTAGCTCCCGGCCCTTTAGCTCCCGGCCCTTTAGCTTCTGTAGCTCCCAGCCCTTTAGCTCCTGTAGCTCCCAGCCCTTTAGCTCCTGTAGCTCCCGGCCCTTTAGCTCCTGACCCTTTAGCTTCTGTAGCTCCCAGCCCTTTAGCTCCTGTAGCTCCCAGCCCTTTAGCTCCTGTAGCTCCCAGCCCTTTAGCTCCTGTAGCTCCCGGCCCTTTAGCTCCTGTAGCTCCCAGCCCTTTAGCTCCTGTAGCTCCCAGCCCTTTAGCTCCTGTAGCTCCCGGCCCTTTAGCTCCTGTAGCTCCCGGCCCTTTAGCTCCTGACCCTTTAGCTCCTGTAGCTCCCGACCCTTTAGCTCCTGGCCCTTAGCTTCTGTAGCTCCCGACCCTTTAGCTCCCGGCCCTTTAGCTCCCAGCCCTTTAGCTCCTGTAGCTCCCGGCCCTTAAGCTCCTGGCCCTTTAGCTCCCGGCTCTTAAGCTCCCTGGCCCTTAAGCTCCTGGCTCTTTAGCTCCTGGCCCTTTAGCTCCTGGCCCTTTAGCTCCTGACCCTTTAGATCCTGTAGCTCCCGATCCTTTAGCTCCTGGCCCTTTGGCTCCTGGCCCTATGGCTCCTGGCCCTTTAGCTCCTGGCCCTTTAGCTCCTGGCCCTTTAGCTCCTGGCACTTTAGCTCCTGGCCCTTTAGCTCCTGGCCCTTTAGCTCCCGGCCCTATGGCTCCTGGCCCTATGGCTCCTGGCCCTTAGCTCCTGTAGCTCCCGATCCTTTAGCTCCTGATCCTTTAGCTCCCGACTCTTTAGCTCCCGGCCCTTTAGCTCCTGGCCCTTTAGCTCCCGACTCTTTAGCTCCCGGCCCTTTAGCTTTTAGCTCCTGGCCCTTTAGCTCCTGTAGCTCCCGGCCCTGTAGCTCCCGGCCCTTTAGCTCCTGTAGCTCCCGGCCCTTTAGCTCCTGACCCTTTAGCTCCTGTAGCTCCCGACCCTTTAGCTCCTGGCCCTTAGCTTCTGTAGCTCCCGACCCTTTAGCTCCCGGCCCTTTAGCTCCCAGCCCTTTAGCTCCTGTAGCTCCCGGCCCTTAAGCTCCTGGCCCTTTAGCTCCCGGCTCTTAAGCTCCTGGCCCTTAAGCTCCTGGCTCTTTAGCTCCTGGCCCTTTAGCTCCTGGCCCTTTAGCTCCTGACCCTTTAGATCCTGTAGCTCCCGATCCTTTAGCTCCTGGCCCTTTGGCTCCTGGCCCTATGGCTCCTGGCCCTTTAGCTCCTGGCCCTTTAGCTCCTGGCCCTTTAGCTCCTGGCCCTTTAGCTCCTGGCCCTTTAGCTCCTGGCCCTTTAGCTCCCGGCCCTATGGCTCCTGGCCCTATGGCTCCTGGCCCTTAGCTCCTGTAGCTCCCGATCCTTTAGCTCCTGATCCTTTAGCTCCCGACTCTTTAGCTCCCGGCCCTTTAGCTCCTGGCCCTTTAGCTCCCGACTCTTTAGCTCCCGGCCCTTTAGCTTTTAGCTCCTGGCCCTTTAGCTCCTGTAGCTCCCGGCCCTTTAGCTCCCGGCCCTTAAGCTCCCGGCCCTTTAGCTCCCGGCCCTTTAGCTCCCGGCCCTTTAGCTCCCGGCCCTTTAGCTCCCGGCCCTTTAGCTCCTGTAGCTCCCGACCCTTTAGCTCCCGGCCCTTTAGCTCCCGACCCTTTAGCTCCCGGCCCTTTAGCTCCCGGCCCTTTAGCTCCCGGCCCTTTAGCTCCCGACCCTTTAGCTCCTGTAGCTCCCGACCCTTTAGCTCCCGGCCCTTTAGCTCCCGACCCTTTAGGTCCCGGCCCTTTAGCTCCCGGCCCTTTAGCTCCCGGCCCTTTAGCTCCCGACCCTTTAGCTCCTGTAGCTCCCGTCCCTTTAGCTCCCGGCCCTTTAGCTCCCGACCCTTTAGCTCCCGACTCTTTAGCTCCCGACCCTTTAGCTCCCGGCCCTTTAGCTTCTGTAGCTCCCGACCCTTTAGCTCCCGGCCCTTTAGCTCCTGGCCCTTTAGCTCCTGGCCCTTTAGCTCCTGGCCCTTTAGCTCCTGGCCCTTTAGCTCCTGGCCCTTTAGCTCCTGTAGCTCCCGACCCTTTAGCTCCCGGCCCTTTAGCTTCTGTAGCTCCCGACCCTTTAGCTCCCGGCCCTTTAGCTCCTGGCCCTTTAGCTCCTGGCCCTTTAGCTCCTGGCCCTTTAGCTCCTGGCCCTTTAGCTCCTGGCCCTTTAGCTCCTGGCCCTTTAGCTCCTGACCGTTACCTTGAGTCTGTTGGTGACGGCCTCCTCCACCACAGCACGAGCAGGTAACCATCCAAACTGATAATAGTCCAAACGGTCCAGGAACTCTGCCCCGACCAGAACCATGGCTTTCTTAAAACCTTCCTGTAAAAGAATGATTCAGATATTACCAGAACACTTCATCTCCTTTAGAAGTTCTGAAGTTTCCAACATCAAAGATAAAATCTCAGTGGGTCTCTCCCCTCAGTGGGTCTCTCCCCTCAGTGGTCTCTCTCCCCTCAGTGATCTCTCTCCCCTCAGTGGTCTCTCTCCCCTCAGTGGGTCTCTCACCTCAGTGGGTCTCTCACCTCAGTGGGTCTCTCACCTCAGTGGGTCTCTCACCTCAGTGGGTCTCTCACCTCAGTGGGTCTCTCACCTCAGTGGGTCTCTCACCTCAGTGGGTCTCTCTCCCCTCAGTGGGTCTCTCACCTCAGTGGGTCTCTCACCTCAGTGGGTCTCTCACCTCAGTGGGTCTCTCACCTCAGTGGGTCTCTCACCTCAGTGGTCTCTCTCCCCTCAGTGGTCTCTCTCCCCTCAGTGGTCTCTCTCCCCTCAGTGGTCTCTCTCCCCTCAGTGGGTCTCTCTCCCCTCAGTGGGTCTCTCTCCCCTCAGTGGGTCTCTCACCTCAGTGGGTCTCTCACCTCAGTGGGTCTCTCACCTCAGTGGGTCTCTCACCTCAGTGGGTCTCTCACCTCAGTGGGTCTCTCACCTCAGTGGGTCTCTCACCTCAGTGGGTCTCTCACCTCAGTGGGTCTCACCTCAGTGGTCTCTCACCTCAGTGGTCTCTCACCTCAGTGGTCTCTCCCCTCAGTGGTCTCTCTCCCCTCAGTGGTCTCTCTCCCCTCAGTGGTCTCTCTCCCCTCAGTGGTCTCTCTCCCCTCAGTGGGTCTCTCACCTCAGTGGGTCTCTCCCCTCAGTGGGTCTCTCCCCTCAGTGGGTCTCTCACCTCAGTGGGTCTCTCACCTCAGTGGGTCTCTCACCTCAGTGGGTCTCTCTCCCCTCAGTGGTCTCTCTCCCCTCAGTGGTCTCTCTCCCCTCAGTGGTCTCTCTCCCCTCAGTGGTCTCTCTCCCCTCAGTGGTCTCTCTCCCCTCAGTGGTCTCTCTCCCCTCAGTGGTCTCTCTCCCCTCAGTGGTCTCTCTCCCCTCAGTGGTCTCTCTCCCCTCAGTGGTCTCTCTCCCCTCAGTGGGTCTCTCTCCCCTCAGTGGGTCTCTCTCCCCTCAGTGGGTCTCTCACCTCAGTGGGTCTCTCACCTCAGTGGGTCTCTCTCCCCTCAGTGGTCTCTCTCCCCTCAGTGGTCTCTCTCCCCTCAGTGGTCTCTCTCCCCTCAGTGGTCTCTCTCCCCTCAGTGGTCTCTCTCCCCTCAGTGGTCTCTCTCCCCTCAGTGGTCTCTCTCCCCTCAGTGGGTCTCTCTCCCCTCAGTGGGTCTCTCTCCCCTCAGTGGGTCTCTCACCTCAGTGGGTCTCTCCCCTCAGTGGGTCTCTCACCTCCGTGTCCTGGCTGTGGCTGTTCCATCGGGGGTTGAGGTGGCCGACCCTGCAGCTGAGCGTGGTGGTGACGGCGTAGCGGGCGTCTCCGTCGCACTGAGAGATGCCGTTGTCCACAGCGTCCACTTCTTCCACAAAGTTCTCATAAAGCTGTTGGTTTGAGGAGAAAACGGTTTGTTTTAATGATAGTTTGGGGTTCTGTTCCAAAGTCTCTGATTACTCACTTTGTCATAGAGCACCTCCAGGTGGCGCTGGTCCTTCAGCTGTGTGAGCTCAGACAGAAGTCTTCGTCCAAAGTGAAAGTAAATTAAACCAGCAGAGCTGAGCTTGGTGACCCATGGCTTCTCTGGACACAGGCTGTGGAAGCTCTCAGAGAAGGTCCTGGAACACATACAGTCACTACATTATCTACAGCATTAGCATTAGCATTAGCATTAGCTTCTCTGGACACAGGCTGTGGAAGCTCTCAGAGAAGGGTCTGGAATAAAGGTTTGTACATTCATTACATACATTAGAAAAGCATCGCTCTGAATCTTTTTCATTTTTAGTATTTTATGTCCCAAAAAAATACACATGAAACCGGCCATAAATACCAGCGCGTGTGCGTGTGTGTGCGTGTGTGGAATTACATGAGATTGTAAAGGGACCTTGTGACCGTCTGTAATGAGGATTTTATTTTTAATGTTTTGAACGAGAAGCAGAGAAAGACAAACATGTGAAGCAGAACAGGTGCATTGTGGGTAACACTGAGCCCTGTGTCTGAAGCACACCTGACATCAGGAATCAATAAACAGCTCCAGCCGAGAGTGTGCGTCAGACACACAGGACAAAGCACATGGTCACATGACCCAGGGACGTGGGTCACATGACCCAGGGACGTGGGTCACAGCTGATGGAGGATTATCAGAGACTGTCAATGGAACTGACAGATGAAGACTAATTATATATATATACATACATACATACATACATACACACACATATTTTATATATATATATATATAAAACATGTGTATGTTATATACATGTTATTTATATGTTAAGTCACAAACTTGGAATCTTCGAACAGGGTTTTACCGCCTTGAAGAGAGTCAAACCTAAGACTGAAGAAAATTTAGACTTCTTTCTTTTGCTAAAGTTAGATGTTATTTCAGTCTAGAGTTATTGTTCTTCTGTTTCTCTTTCCACACTGTGGATCCTCTTATGTGGAGAGATCTAAGTAAAAGTATGATCTTTGTCATTAGGAACATGCTCCTTATTTCTCTCAGAGATGAGTCAGAGTCAGACACATGTTTATGTCACTGCTGCACGTGTCCAGCTCCTCCTGGTCTCACCACAGGGGGGCGCCAGAGGGAGCAAAGGACTAATTATCACTGACCTCCTGCAATATTTATCTCCTGCATACGTCGATTTTCCGCTCCTGCACCTCTGCCGCACCTCTACAGAGCAGTCCGTGTCTCTACAGAGCAGTCCGTGTCTCTACAGAGCAGTCCGTGTCTCTACAGAGCAGTCCGTGTCTCTACAGAGCAGTCCGTGCGTCTCTACAGAGCAGTCCGTGCGTCTCTACTGAACAGTCCGTGCGTCTCTACAGAGCAGTCCGTGCGTCTCTACAGAGCAGTCCGTGCGTCTCTACAGAGCAGTCCGTGTCTCTACAGAGCAGTCCGTGTCTCTACAGAGCAGTCCGTGTCTCTACAGAGCAGTCCGTGTCTCTACAGAGCAGTCCGTGTCTCTACAGAGCAGTCCGTGTCTCTACAGAGCAGTCCGTGCGTCTCTACAGAGCAGTCCGTGCGTCTCTACAGAGCAGTCCGAGCGTCTCTACAGAGCAGTCCGAGCGTCTCTACAGAGCAGTCCGAGCGTCTCTACAGAGCAGTCCGAGCGTCTCTACAGAGCAGTCCGAGCGTCTCTACAGAGCAGTCCGAGCGTCTCTACAGACCAGTCCGAGCGTCTCTACAGAGCAGTCCGAGCGTCTCTGTAGAGCAGTCCGAGCGTCTCTACAGAGCAGTCCGTGCGTCTCTACTGAACAGTCCGTGCGTCTCTACAGAGCAGTCCGTGCGTCTCTACAGAGCAGTCCGTGCGTCTCTACAGAGCAGTCCGTGTCTCTACAGAGCAGTCCGTGTCTCTACAGAGCAGTCCGTGTCTCTACAGAGCAGTCCGTGTCTCTACAGAGCAGTCCGTGTCTCTACAGAGCAGTCCGTGCGTCTCTACAGAGCAGTCCGTGCGTCTCTACAGAGCAGTCCGAGCGTCTCTACAGAGCAGTCCGAGCGTCTCTACAGAGCAGTCCGAGCGTCTCTACAGAGCAGTCCGAGCGTCTCTACAGAGCAGTCCGAGCGTCTCTACAGAGCAGTCCGAGCGTCTCTACAGAGCAGTCCGAGCGTCTCTGTAGAGCAGTCCGAGCGTCTCTACAGAGCAGTCCGTGCGTCTCTACAGAGCAGTCCGTGCGTCTCTACAGAGCAGTCCGTGCGTCTCTACAGAGCAGTCCGTGCGTCTCTACAGAGCAGTCCGTGCGTCTCTACAGAGCAGTCCGTGCGTCTCTACAGAGCAGTCCGTGCGTCTCTACAGAGCAGTCCGTGCGTCTCTACAGAGCAGTCCGTGCGTCTCTACTGAACAGTCCGTGTGTCTCTACAGAGCAGTCCGTGCGTCTCTACAGAGCAGTCCGTGCGTCTCTACAGAGCAGTCCGTGCGTCTCTACAGAGCAGTCCGTGCGTCTCTACAGAGCAGTCCGTGCGTCTCTACAGAGCAGTCCGTGCGTCTCTACAGAGCAGTCCGTGCGTCTCTACAGAGCAGTCCGTGCGTCTCTACTGAACAGTCCGTGCGTCTCTACAGAGCAGTCCGTGCGTCTCTACAGAGCAGTCCGTGCGTCTCTACAGAGCAGTCAGTGCGTCTCTACAGAACAGTCCGTGCGTCTCTACAGTCCGTGCGTCTCTACAGAGCAGTCCGTGCGTCTCTACTGAACAGTCCGTGTGTCTCTACAGAGCAGTCCGTGCGTCTCTACAGAGCAGTCCGTGCGTCTCTACAGAGCAGTCCGTGCGTCTCTACAGAGCAGTCCGTGCGTCTCTACAGAGCAGTCCGTGCGTCTCTACAGAGCAGTCCGTGCGTCTCTACAGAGCTCCGTGCGTCTCTACAGAGCAGTCCGTGCGTCTCTACTGAACAGTCCGTGCGTCTCTACAGAGCAGTCCGTGCGTCTCTACAGAGCAGTCCGTGCGTCTCTACAGAGCAGTCAGTGCGTCTCTACAGAACAGTCCGTGCGTCTCTACAGTCCGTGCGTCTCTACTGAACAGTTTGAGCGTCTCTACTGAACAGTCCGTGTGTCTCTACAGAACAGTCCGTGCGTCTCTACAGAGCAGTCCGTGCGTCTCTACAGAGCAGTCCGTGCGTCTCTACAGAGCAGTCCGTGCGTCTCTACAGAGCAGTCCGTGCGTCTCTACAGAGCAGTCCGTGCGTCTCTACAGAGCAGTCCGTGCGTCTCTACAGAGCAGTCCGTGCGTCTCTACAGAGCAGTCCGTGCGTCTCTACAGTCCGTGCGTGCATGCTGAGACCAGTGGGGGCGGGTCCCGGCTCAAAAGTGTCCAAAATGATGTGCGCTGACATGCTGCAGTGCCACCCCGGGCCTGTGGGGGTGAACACGGAATAAGAATTAGCCAATGCTAACATATAGCATTTGCAGACCTCTGGAAAACGTCTTTACAGGATGGTCCAAAAGTTGTCTCTTGGCCCAAAGCTCCGTTCCACATGTGTGTCAATGCTGAGTGTTCTGGACCAGTCTAGTTTAGTCGCTGTGGACTTTAGAAGTCACTCGTTTAAATGAATGGAGCTCTCGCCGGCTGACGCATGCGCAGATGCGTTCTCAGACCGCAAGTTACTTTGCTTTGACCAATCCCTGTACGACTGAGAACTTACACAAACTTACAGTATTGCTGCCAACCACACGGGTTGGAGAAAATCAAAAGAAAATTATTATTATTATCTTAGGTGTAGCCAGAGTAAAGTTATCCCAAAATGTTTACAGCAGAAAGCATTAGAAACAGGCCAGTTGGCAAGAAGAACAAAACTATTGTATGAAGATTCTCAATTTAAGAATTCGGCGACTTAACATCGAGACTATAAATTTAAAGGATGAGATAGAGTATGTCAGACACAAGCTAGAATTATCAGTCTCACCGGAGATCTCTCAGAGGATTTAGACGTTTCCTGAAACTGCCCAATTGAACCAACCCAAGAAGGCCAAAGAAAATCAGATTTCAAAAGCTCCTAAACCAAAATTCTTTTAAACATTGAAAAAAGTCCAATTGGACAAGGTGTGGACAGGGAGAATTTGGGCAAAAATCCATCTGATCGGCATTTATCACAAGCGGAAACAGATGTTCTTACTAAAGGCCTAAATTTTGCCATAACCCCAAAAGATATTCCAACAACTGAATACATCACAGCAGCAGAAGCAGCCAAACTAACGGGGAGTGAGGCGGGGGCCCTCAGGCTGAGAGTCTCAGCAACACTCAAAAGTGCTAAGCCCCCACAATCCAGTCTCAGTAGAAGAGCAAAAAGCATTATTGGCATTACAAAAGGATGAGAGTATAACTATTTTACCATCTGACAAAGGCAGTTATCCTTAAAGTGTAACTCTAAATTAATTACAAATTTTAGGAAATGTGCTAAATTGACCTCCTGGCCTTAAATGTTGATATAAAATAAGTCATTTTATTAATTCCAATATCACGGGCAAGTCCCGCCTTCCCTGCTCTTAGCTATAGTTCAGAATCCACGGTGCCGTCGAGGTTAACCAATCGAGTCATGCCAAGGGCTGTCAATCATCAGCGCTGATGCTGCAGCTGCTCATGCTCAGGAGCCTCCGAATCAAGCCTCTGTAGGCTCTGGAACTACATGAAAACTGAACAAAGAATTCTGAACATCCGCGCTGAGTTACCCATTTATATACTGAACCTATATCCATAATCATTTATATACTGAACCTATATCCATAATCATTTATATACTGAACCTATATCCATAATCATTTATATACTGAACCTATATCCATAATCATTTATATACTGAACCTATATCCATAATCATTTATATATGAACCTATATCCATAATCATTTATATACTGAACCTATATCCATAATCATTTATATATGAACCTATATCCATAATCATTTATATACTGAACCTATATCCATAATCATTTATATATGAACCTATATCCATAATCATTTATATATGAACCTATATCCATGATCATTTATATATGAATCTATATCCATAATCATTTATATACTGAACCTATATCCATAATCATTTATATATGAACCTATATCCATAATCATTTATATATGAACCTATATCCATAATAATTTATATACTGAACCTATATCCATAATCATTTATATATGAACCTATATCCATAATCATTTATATATGAACCTATATCCATAATCATTTATATATGAACCTATATCCATAATCATTTATATATGAACCTATATCCATAATCATTTATATATGAACCTATATCCATAATCATTTATATATAAACCTATATCCATAATCATTTATATATGAACCTATATCCATAATCATTTATATATAAACCTATATCCATAATCATTTATATATGAACCTATATCCATAATCATTTATATACTGAACCTATATCCATAATCATTTATATATGAACCTATATCCATAATCATTTATATATGAACCTATATCCATAATCAGATCCTCTGCAGATGTGTCCTATAATGTGCAATTCTTAATAATAGCACTTCCTGGTTTGCCGCGATCGCTTTTTTTGTGCATAATAACATTATTTTTTCATTAAAACGTTCAAATAATTCTGAAAACCTCCATGCATGTGTATTAATAATGTATATGTATAATGTGTTCTCAGATTAATATTTCAAAGTGTTACGGAAACGTAGGTGTAGACCAATCAGAAAGGAAGGGGGAGGAGCTTGTGTCGTTTTTTTTAAATCAAGCACCTCTCTCTCTCTTTCTGACAAACTCCAGACAATCACTTTAAACCTCAGACTATGAGGCCAACACCTCCCAACCACTGAAGACGACCCTACAGACGACCCTACAGACGACCCTACAGACGACCCTACAGACGGCCCTACAGACGGCCCTACAGACGGCCCTACAGACGGCCCTACAGACGGCCCTACAGACGACCCTACAGACGACCCTACAGACGACCCTACAGACGGCCCTACAGACGACCCTACAGACGGCCCTACAGACGGCCCTACAGACGACCCTACAGACGACCCTACAGACGACCCTACAGACGACCCTACAGACGACCCTACAGACGACCCTACAGACGACCCTACAGACGACCCTACAGACGACCCTACAGACGACCCTACAGACGACCCTACAGACGACCCTACAGACGACAGACACCCTACAGACGACCCTACAGACGGCCCTACAGACGGCCCTACAGACGGCCCTACAGACGGCCCTACAGACGGCCCTACAGACGGCCCTACAGACGGCCCTACAGACGGCCCTACAGACGGCCCTACAGACGGCCCTACAGACGACCCTACAGACGGCCCTACAGACGGCCCTACAGACGACCCTACAGACGGCCCTACAGACGACCCTACAGACGGCCCTACAGACGGCCCTACAGACGGCCCTACAGACGGCCCTACAGACGGCCCTACAGACGGCCCTACAGACGGCCCTACAGACGGCCCTACAGACGGCCCTACAGACGACCCTACAGACGACCCTACAGACGACCCTACAGACGACCCTACAGACGACCCTACAGACGACCCTACAGACGACCCTACAGACGACCCTACAGACGACCCTACAGACGGCCCTACAGACGGCCCTACAGACGGCCCTACAGACGACCCTACAGACGACCCTACAGACGACCCTACAGACGACCCTACAGACGGCCCTACAGACGGCCCTACAGACGACCCTACAGACGACCCTACAGACGACCCTACAGACGACCCTACAGACGACCCTACAGACGGCCCTACAGACGACCCTACAGACGGCCCTACAGACGGCCCTACAGACGGCCCTACAGACGGCCCTACAGACGGCCCTACAGACGGCCCTACAGACGACCCTACAGACGACCCTACAGACGACCCTACAGACGACCCTACAGACGACCCTACAGACGACCCTACAGACGGCCCAACAGACCTCCCTAGGACTGACCCCTGTAGGACTGACCCCTGTAGGACTGAGACTGAAACCATTATTATTACATGTATTTATAGGGTGTAACGATACATGGTCTCGTGTGTGTTGAGTGTTGGACCATCGTCATGACAACATAAAGAACTTAGTAACACTAAATCAAGAACTTCAAATTAACATTATCATTTTTGTTTAAGTCTGGACTTATTTCCATCAAATCCAGCTTCAGATTCTTTCTTATTAACAGTATCATCATGACACTGTTTACACCACTATAGAATTAAAAATATATCATTTCATCTTGAGCACTTAGGTGGTGCTGTAAACATTTGTTATCTGTTTTATTATTATTTATAAGTTAGCTCTTGGGTAAAATAAATGTTTTTGTTAAATTTGTAAAAAAGTTGTATTTCTTGTTCAGCACTTTAAATCTGAGTTATTTATTTTGTATTGATATATCGTTCCAAATCTACTGAATCGTATAGTTTTAAAAATTAAGAATGTTTTTTATCAAAATCATTTTCTCTCATATCGATACGGATCGTTCTGAAAACGTATCGTTTCACCCCTATTTATTTACTGTAAAATATCAAACAATAGACGGACACGTGACAGACACGTGACGGACACGTGAGGGACACGTGACGGACACGTGACGGACACGTGACGGACACGAGACGGACACGAGACGGACACAAGACGGACACGTGACGGACACGTGACGGACACAAGACGGACACGAGACGGACACGTGACGGACACGTGACGGACACGAGACGGACACGAGACGGACACGAGACGGACACGAGACGGACACGAGACGGATACGTGACGGACACGAGACGGACACGTGACGGACACGAGACGGACACGTGACCGTCACGTGACGGACACGTGACGGACACGTGAGGGACACGTGACGGACACGTGACGGACACGTGAGGGACACGTGACGGACACGTGACGGACACGTGAGGGACAGGTGAGGGACACGTGAGGGACACGTGAGGGACACGTGAGGGACACGTGACGGACACGTGACGGACACGTGACGGACACGTGACGGACACGAGACGGACACGAGACGGACTCGAGACGGACACGAGACGGACACGTGACGGACACGTGACGGACACAAGACGGACACGAGACGGACACGTGACGGACACGTGACGGACACGTGACGGACACGAGACGGACACGTGACGGACACGTGACGGACACGTGACGGACACGTGACGGACACGAGACGGACACGTGACGGACACGTGACGGACACGTGAGGGACACGTGACGGACACGTGACGGACACGTGAGGGACACGTGACGGACACGAGACGGACACGTGACGGACACGTGACGGACACGTGACGGACACGTGACGGACACGTGACGGACACGAGACGGACACGTGACGGACACGAGACGGACACGTGAGGGACACGTGAGGGACACGTGACGGACACAAGACGGAGACGAGACGGACACGTGACGGACACGAGACGGAGACGAGACGGACACGTGACGGACACGAGACGGACACGTGAGGGACACGTGACGGACACGTAACGGACACGAGACGGACACGTGACGGACACGTGACGGACACGTGACGGACACGTGACGGACACGTGACGGACACGAGACGGACACGTGACGGACACGAGACGGACACGTGACGGACACGTGACGGACACGTGAGGGACACGTGACGGACACGTGACGGACACGTGAGGGACACGTGACGGACACGAGACGGACACGTGACGGACACGTGACGGACACGTGACGGACACGTGACGGACACGAGACGGACACGTGACGGACACGTGACGGACACGTGAAGGACACGTGACGGACACGTGACGGACACGTGAGGGACACGTGACGGACACGAGACGGACACGTGACGGACACGTGACGGACACGTGACGGACACGAGACGGACACGTGAGGGACACGAGACCGCACACGTGACGGACACGAGACGGACACGTGACGGACACGTGACGGACACGAGACGGACACGTGACGGACACGAGACGGAGACGAGACGGACACTTGACGGACACGAGACGGACACGTGAGGGACACGTGACGGACACGTGAGGGACACGAGACGGACACGTGACGGACACGTGACGGACACGTGACGGACACGTGACGGACACGTGACGGACACGAGACGGACACGTGACGGACACGAGACGGACACGTGAGGGACACGTGAGGGACACGTGACGGACACGAGACGGAGACGAGACGGACACGTGACGGACACGTGAGGGACACGTGAGGGACACGTGACGGACACGAGAGGGACACGTGACGGACACGTGACGGACACGAGACGGACACGAGACGGACACGTGACGGACACGTGACGGACACGTGACGGACACGAGACGGACACGAGACGGACACGTGACGGACACGTGACGGACACGTGACGGACACGAGACGGACACGTGACGGACACGTGACGGACACGAGACGGACACGAGACGGACACGTGACGGACACGTGACGGACACGTGACGGACACGTGACGGACACGAGACGGACACGAGACGGACACGTGACGGACACGAGACGGACACGTGAGGGACACGTGACGGACACGTGACGGACACGAGACGGACACGTGACGGACACGTGACGGACACGTGACGGACACGTGACGGACACGAGACGGACACGTGACGGACACGAGACGGACACGTGAGGGACACGTGAGGGACACGAGACGGACACGAGACGGACACGAGACGGACACGTGACGGACACGTGAGGGACACGTGACGGACACGAGACGGACACGTGACGGACACGTGACGGACACGTGACTGCTTGAACACCAGTAAGACCAAGGAGATGATCATCGACTTCAGGAGAAAACCACTTTCCCACACGCTGCTGAACATCCAGGGGGAGGACATTGAGGTGAGGGACAGGAGGCCCCTGGACTCTGTGGAGGAGGTGAGGGACAGGAGGCCCCTGGACTCTGTGGAGGAGGTGAGGGACAGGAGGCCCCTGGACTCTGTGGAGGAGGTGAGGGACAGGAGGCCCCTGGACTCTGTGGAGGAGGTGAGGGACAGGAGGCCCCTGGACTCTGTGGAGGAGGTGAGGGACAGGAGGCCCCTGGACTCTGTGGAGGAGGTGAGGGACAGGAGGCCCCTGGACTCTGTGGAGGAGGTGAGGGACAGGAGGCCCCTGGACTCTGTGGAGGAGGTGAGGGACAGGAGGCCCCTGGACTCTGTGGAGGAGGTGAGGGACAGGAGGCCCCTGGACTCTGTGGAGGAGGTGAGGGACAGGAGGCCCCTGGACTCTGTGGAGGAGGTGAGGGACAGGAGGCCCCTGGACTCTGTGGAGGAGGTGAGGGACAGGAGGCCCCTGGACTCTGTGGAGGAGGTGAGGCACAGGAGGCCCCTGGACTCTGTGGAGGAGGTGAGGCACAGGAGGCCCCTGGACTCTGTGGAGGAGGTGAGGCACAGGAGGCCCCTGGACTCTGTGGAGGAGGTGAGGGACAGGAGGCCCCTGGACTCTGTGGAGGAGGTGAGGCACAGGAGGCCCCTGGACTCTGTGGAGGAGGTGAGGCACAGGAGGCCCCTGGACTCTGGAGGAGGTGAGGGACAGGAGGCCCCTGGACTCTGTGGAGGAGGTGAGGCACAGGAGGCCCCTGGACTCTGTGGAGGAGGTGAGGCACAGGAGGCCCCTGGACTCTGTGGAGGAGGTGAGGCACAGGAGGCCCCTGGACTCTGTGGAGGAGGTGATGGACAGGAGGCCCCTGGACTCTGTGGAGGAGGTGAGGGACAGGAGGGTGCTAGCCAAAGCCACCTCCATCATGGACAACACCTCCCACTGCACAGGACTGAGGAGGAGCTGAGGAGCTCCTTCAGTGGAAGACTGAGGCACCCTCAGTGTAGGAAGGAGCGCTACCGCAGGGCCTTTATCCCCACCGCTGTCAGACTGTACAATAAGTCACTTTAAATGATCACTGTGTGAAAACCTGCACTACTATTGACACTGTTTCCAATTGACACTTGTCACTTTTGTTGCACATAATTATTGTCACTTTATTGTACATATATCCTGCATGTAACATGTTTGCACATTTCCTCCTTTTGCACAATCTGAGTGTTCTATCCATGCCAAATGTGACATGTACATTTCTCCTCTGTGAGATAAATAAAGCACATCTTGCCATTACCTCTGGTCTCGTCTGGTGTCGTTACCTCTGGTCTCGTCTGGTGTCGTTACCTCTGGTCTCGTCTGGTGTCGTTACCTCTGGTGTCGTTACCTCTGGTGTCGTTACCTCTGGTGTCGTTACCTCTGGTGTCGTTACCTCTGGTGTCGTTACCTCTGGTGTCGTTACCTCTGGTGTCGTTACCTCTGGTGTCGTTACCTCTGGTGTCGTTACCTCTGGTGTCGTTACCTCTGGTGTCGTTACCTCTGGTGTCGTTACCTCTGGTGTCGTTACCTCTGGTGTCGTTACCTCTGGTGTCGTTACCTCTGGTGTCGTTACCTCTGGTGTCGTTACCTCTGGTGTCGTTACCTCTGGTGTCGTTACCTCTGGTGTCGTTACCTCTGGTGTCGTTACCTCTGGTGTCGTTACCTCTGGTGTCGTTACCTCTGGTGTCGTTACCTCTGGTGATGATCGTAGCGATGAGTCTCAGCGTTGAACTCTCCTCCAACGTCCACAACGATGTCACATTCTGCCAGTTTATCCGGATCCCGAGTGCGAACGATCTCAGCGTCCTGTGAACAGGAAGTCACGTTAGAAAACAGCAACACGGTGGGGGCGCTGCTGAGCACGGATGGTGCAAGACGTGCTTTGAGGTGGCTCCGCCGGAATGTGATATTTTTGTGATATTGTGCACCTTTTTTTAAATCATAAGTGCGAAGACTTGTTTAGTATTGGTTTCTTATCATCCCTTATGGTCCTTCGGATTTGTTTGGCGCTCAGATGAGACGGAAAGCGGGTATGACAACGAGAAATATGCCTGAACAGGATGCTACCTCAGCGGCTAACGGCGCATTGCTAGCTAACATGAGGGAGATGATGGAGGAAATGCGTGGAGATATAGGCAAATTTGAGGCAATTGTTGCAGACGTTGTTAAACGTGAAGTTACGGATGCGTTGGCCCCTTTAGAGTCTAAAATTACATCGTATGCATCTGCCATATCCGACTTGGAAGGAGCAGCTAACGACCATGAGCAGAGGCTAACTAGCATACAGGCCTCTGTTAGCCAACTTCAGGGAAAAGTTGAGCTATTGACGAATAAATGTGACGAACTAGAGGGACGCTCCAGACTCAATAATATTCGAATTGTTGGCGTTGCTGAAGGTACGGAGGGCCCTCGCCCAACAGAATTTGTGGCCGATTTTCTGCACAATCTACTTCACCTCGATGTCAAACCTATTCTCGACCGGGCGCATCGGACCCAGACCCGGAGACGGAGCACCGCCGCGGCCCTTCATGGTTCGTGTCAACCAGTTCCAGACAAGGAATGAAATTCTCCGCAAAGCCCGTGAGTCACCTGCCCTGACCTTTCAGGGGAAACGAGTGTTTATTTTCCCTGATTTTACGGCCATTGTGGCAAAGAAGCGCGCTGGATTCAGCGGCGTGAAGAAAGAACTTCATTCCTGTCCAGGGATAAAGTTTGGACTTTTCTTCCCAGCATCACTGAGAATAACACTCCCCAATGGACAGCTTCGCACGTTTGACAGTCCTGACTTGGCTATGGACTTTGTGAAGAAAAATCTCAAGACCATGGTGGACCCACAGTCTGTTTAAACGACCTGTTACGATGGACAAACTTTACATTTTATAATGAATAGGTTTGAGTCTATTCATTGGTGCAATAATTTGTTTTCTTCTAGTTAAAATGTGTGTTATTACTTTTACAATGTGTACATGCATAAATGCTCTGACTTTTTTCTTTTGAGCAATGTCCCAATCTATATATATATATTTGTTTATTTATTTTTTATTTATTTTTTGGTTGGTGTTTTTTTATTTTGTTATTACTATTATGGTATCCTTGGTTGGTAAATGCGTCAATGAGCACTGAGGTTGTATACATATGGACGACGCATATGTTATATTCCGTTTTTCTGTTGCAGTTATTGTTGGGGAGGATGGTAAGAACTATTACATTGTAATTTTTTTATAATTTATTTATTTTACTGTTGTATTATTATTATTATCCTTTCTTTCATTGATCTGATTCATTTTTTTTTCCATTTTACTTTGATTTTCTTTTTACAGGTGGTCAGAAGATACTGCTTTGAGATTCCTTAAGAGATCTTAATCATGGCACACAATTCATCACCATCTTCAAGACAAGAGATTCGTTTTACCAGTTTTAACTGCAAAGGGCTCAACAACCCATTAAAACGTAGTAAGGTATTACACCACATTCATCAGCTTGGGGCTCATGTTATCTACTTGCAAGAAACTCATTTGAAAAACTTGGACCATTTGAAATTAAAAAAGAATTGGATTAGTAACATATATCATTCATCTTTTAATAGTAAATCTAGGGGTGTAGCAATTCTCTTTCCTCCTTCCTCCTTCGTCGTGCAAGGACGTGTCTTAGTCCGCTCCTGAACGGCTTGCTATCTCCTGTTTTTGTCTTTTTTTCCTGGAGTTTTGCCACAGACAACTTTAACAGAATGGAAATGATTAACTGGTCCCTCAACGCAATTGATTCTATCTTTTCAACACGTAAGCGCGGGTCTGGAGAGCCCGTGTGCCCGGACGGGACTTCACCAGCGGGGTATACTCTTGACAGCTGGAACAAGTTTCAGCCCCTCTGTCTGTCGACCCTGTCCATTGAAGATTCGGAAGACGTATATATCTTTGGCATTTTGGTGGTGGGGATCCTCCTGTTTGGGTTTGGAGCGGTTCTCTTCTACCACAAATTCGGAGGCATGGCAGTTCGCAAGATTCACGACCTGCTGGCCGAAAAAATTGATGGGATGTACAAGGAGCTTAACCGAGTCGTGGTTGAGAGCGCTGTGGCTGGACAACGAAGAGTGGTGTTAGTGGAACAGTTGATCAAAGATCTCGCAGCTCGTTCACTTGATGGTCATAAGACTCTGGAATTGAGATTGAATGACATTGTCTGCCAGGCTTGAACTCTCTGACCCGGCTTGGATTTGCCCCTGTGTACGGGGTCTGAGGGCGCTGTAATTTGGTCTAATTGGATTTAATAGAATATCTGCCTGTTTTTGACTGCTAAACTGCATACAATATTGTCCCTCGTTACAGGAGATGTGTTCTCTCCCTATTGTGTCTTCCCTCCTCTCTTATCTCACATTCCTCGGGCCAAGGCCATCATAATAAATCTGGTCTCTACAAAAATTTCACACTCTTTCAGTCTTCCAGTTTGGATCCCGCTCCCCCCGCCTCCCTCTGATCTCTCCCTCCCCTCCCCTACTTACTGTGTTTCCGACTCACCCCCTCCCTGACCCCGCCCCCCTCTGACAGCCACATTGGACCGGCAGGCCGGAGGTGCTCATCCCGTGAAAAAAATCCGTGGTTTATACAAAGCACAATGTTTTCTATCCAACTGTCTGTTGTTACCTGAATGTTATTGCTCTCTGCTGTTTCTTGCTGCACACAGCGCCGCAAATGGCGAAGTGGCACGCTCTCTGCAAAGACAATTTCCAAGTGATAACTTTGTTACTCACGTGGCAATAAAAATGATTCTGATTCTGATTCTGATTCTGATATCATTCATCTTTTAATAGTAAATCTAGGGGTGTAGCAATTCTAATACGAAAATCTGTTCCTTTTGTGTACTTACAATCAATTTCCGATCCGAATGGTAGATATGTAATTATTACTTGTACCATCAACAATGTTCCCTTAGCTTTAGTAAATGTTTATGCTCCAAATTATGATGATGAGGATTTTCTCAAACGACTGATTGCACGACTCCCTAATATGTCATCTTACATGCTAGTGATGGCAGGTGATTTTAACTGTTGGCAAGACGTGGACTTAGACCGGTCATCTAATAAAGCTGCTAGCCTTACACGTGCAGCAAAAGCACTTAATTCTTTTACCAAAGAATTTTCCCTAACGGATCCTTGGCGCTTTTTAAATCCTCAACAAAAAGTATATTCTTTTTTTTCGCCTGTCCACCATACTTTTACTCGCGTTGACTTCTTTTTACTCGATAACAGACTTTTACCTTCCTTAATGGATTGCAAGTACGATGCAATTGTCCTATCCGATCATGCTCCCGTTTCAATAAATATCCAATTTCAGTCACAATCCGGTCGCTCATTGTGGCGTCTTAACACTCAGCTTCTAGCTAATGAAAACTTTGTTTCTTTTATTGAGCGACAAATTGATTTCTTTTTATCAAATAATGAAAGCTCTAATATCTCGGCCTCTCTTTTGTGGGAGACATTAAAGGCATATATTAGAGGTGAAATAATTTCCTTTACAAAATATGAGCGCAAGCTTAGAAATGAGAAGCTTCTGAATTTGACTTGCCGTATCTCTCAATTGGACAGTCTGTATGCAACTTCTCCAAACCCAAATCTTTACAAGGAACGTATTATATTACAGTCAGAATTTGATATTTTGATGACTAAACACACAACTGATCTGCTGCTTCGATCTGGTGCTCAGTTCTTCGAACACGGGGACAAAGCTGGTAAATTACTTGCTCACCAAATTCGCCAAGTTTCTGCGTCACATCAAATTTCTCAGATTGAGACGCTGCATGGAAATTCCTCTGAACCAACTGAAATTAACAATACTTTTAAAGATTTTTACTCTGCCTTATACTCTTCAGACTGTACTGCATCCATATCTGATTTTGACAATTTTTTTGAAGGGTTGCATGTTCCCTCCATTAATCGGGTAGTTGCTGACAACTTGGAGAAACCTCTCACAATTGAAGAGCTAACAGTTGCTGTTAAATCTCTTCAAGGAGGCCGCTGCCCAGGCCCGGATGGATATCCTTGCGAATTCTATAGGATATTTTGGAATAAATTGTCACCAATATTATTATCAGTTTATAAAGAATCTTTGGAATGTGGCCACTTGCCTGAAACTCTTAATCAAGCTGTCATTAGCCTTCTTGCTAAAAAAGGCAAAGATCCATTACAATGTGCTTCATATCGCCCCATAAGTTTACTAAACGTCGACTTCAAATTGTTGTCTAAAACATTGGCTTTACGTCTCAATACAGTTCTCCCTTCCATAATCAGTGTAGACCAAACTGGTTTTGTTCAAAATAGACACTCCTTTTCTAATGTTAGACGCCTTTTTAATGTTATATACAACCCAAACCCTGTAGACTCCCAGGAAGCCCTAATTTCTTTAGATGCCGAAAAGGCTTTTGATAGAGTAGAATGGAGGTATTTATTTTATACAATTGAAAAATTTGGTTTTGGTCAGAAGTTTTTATCCTGGATTCAACTGTTGTACGCAGACCCACACGCTGCAGTCAGAACCAATAATATCCAATCTGCTTACTTCCGTCTCTCTCGTTCCACGCGTCAAGGCTGTCCATTAAGTCTGTTATTATTTGCCTTGGCGATAGAACCGCTTGCCATCGCGCTCAGATCGAATCTGGAGATTAGTGGGATTATTAGGAATGGCATAGGAAACAAAGTGTCTTTGTACGCAGACGATTTACTTTTGTATTTAAGTGATTTGGATACTTCTATTCCAGCAGCTTTAAATACGCTACAGGTATTTGGACGGATTTCCGGTTATAAATTAAACTTC